AAGTATACCTGTAACCTAGAATTTAATATAATAACAGCAGCTAATGTTGAATTGTTATCACTTGCTAGGTCTTAATGTACTTTATATTAACTAAAGTCATACAATTCCTATTTTATTTTATTTTATTTTTTTTTTTAATTTTTTTTTTCAACGTTTTTATTTTATTTTTGGGACAGAGAGAGACAGAGCATGAACGGGCAAGGGGCAGAGAGAGAGGGAGACACAGAATCGGAAACAGGCTCCAGGCTCTGAGCCATCAGCCCAGAGCCCGACGCGGGGCTCGAACTCACGGACCGTGAGATCGTGACCTGGTTGAAGTCGGACGCTTAACCGACTGCGCCACCCAGGCGCCCCATACAATTCCTATTTTATAGGAATTCCAGAGCAAGTGAACTTTTGAGCAGAAAACTAAAAAAGCAACTGCCAGAATTCTGTCAAAAAATAAAAAGTCTGAGTCGGTGGAATCAGTACAGTCTTCCAGGCAGATTAATAAAAGAATGATCGCATAACAAATTTAATAAATCAAGGATAATCATCAAAGCTGTGTAAGTTTCAAATCTGCTCCATTCTTAGGTTTGAAAAGTCAGAAGCTGGGAGCTAAAACCAAACTGTTTTGCTAAGTAACTGCCAAGAACTCTGTTTTTGTAACTTGTTATAAACCAACTTATTTAGTGAAGGTGATCACTAAATTATCATGATTTTCCTGGCTACAGAAACTTGAGCAGGTGTAGTTCAAAGCCAAGGTTACCACCCCTGTGATTTCAACCAGAGGTGATTTTGACCCCCAGGGGACACCTGGAATGTCTGGAGGCATTTGTGACTGTCACAGCTGAGAGCCTGGTTGCTGGTGTCATTCAGAAGGTAGACAGCAGGGATGTTGCTAACTGTCCTACAATACACAGGACAGCTCTCTACAACACAGAATTATATGATCCAAATTGTCACAGTGCTGATGTTGAGAAAACTTGCAGGAGAGTATTTCACCGAAATTCGACAAGGGCAATAGGAATTAGTGAAGAGCTTGACTTCTGATCTTTTCTAAATTGAATGTTTTACAGGCAGTAATCCTGACCAACGGGTAGCAAGTGCTGTCAGCAACGACCCAGTTGGAATCACTTTAGGAGCATCTCCTTGCTATGTACTAACTAACGTGCTGCTGTGTGCTTCAAAATAATTTGTTCCATTAGGTAGGTTAAAAGCTGCCCCCGTGATTACGTTGAGGCCTTCTGTTCATTTATTTACATTTGCATTCACCAACTAAGCATCTGCTATATAGTAGGCCTCAGGGATACAGTGAATAAAAATAATGATAACCACAACAAGAAAAAGAAGAAATAATCACACACTAAACCCACGGTCTCTGACCTCAAGGAATTTATAGTCCAGAGTAGAGACAAGGAAACAGACAACTTAAAAGCCTGTGAGGTAACTACCAGGAAAGATAAAGGCACACGTGTGTGGCCCAATTAACATAAGAGAGTGAGGGGAAAAGGGAAAATGTTTCCTCAAAGACATGGTACCAACCCTGCATCTTGAAGGAAAAACAGGAGTAGGTAAGTTGGCAGCTGGAGCTTGGGTGGATACAGCTGCTGGGGTAAAGATGCTGTCTACGTTTTTCAGTAATCTCCATGATCATACCAAATGATGAAAAAAATAATAAGTAACATTTGTGGAACAAAAACTAAGAGCCGGACACTATTCTAAGAACCTTATTTGTATTAACTCAGGTAATCTTCATAAAAGCTCCATGAGGGCGGGTATTATAATTAGTCTCATTGATAGATGAGGAGGCTGAGGACCAGGCGTAGTTCAAGTCCATGCTTACAGAGCTAATGACTGGCAGCTGGGATTTAAAATTCACTTAATATGGCTCTGTTGCTTGCACTCTTAACCACTACTTTCTACTATTTGAAGAGCAGGAGATAGGACGCCTTCAACAAGGGCTGTTAGCTAAGAAACTTACTCAAAACTAATGTGCTAGCTTAGTGCTAGAGTAGACCTACTGAGAGGAAGTCACATGCCTGGTAAACCCTGCTTTTAGAATGAAGACCGACCTTATTCTTTTTTTTTTTTTTTCATATGGAACACTTAACAAATTTGCATGTCGTCCTTGCACAGGAGCTATGCTAATCTACATATCATTCCCATTTTAGTATATATGTTACTGAACTGAGCGTGAAGACCAAACTTCTACCCATGGATTATGAGGCCCTGCCTGATCAGCCCTCATGTACAGATTTATCTCTATCCTAATCCCTCTTACTGTCCATTTTTACCAAGGCAGCCCTTTGTGTCTTCTTTGGAACTAGATGAATAGGTGTTTGGTTTTCCTTCTTCCTTTCTGCAATCCGCAAGAACGGGCTCTCTCCATCCTCACCCAAGCCAGTTTTCAACACAGGAGCATTCACAGTTGAGGCTGGAGCCTTCTAACAATGCCCTGGAGGCCCCTCCTTACTATTAGGGGACAGAACACCCTTTGAACACGGTTCCTTATCCAGTAAACACCCAGGCGACATTTTCACACACACCGTACCAAGATGTCATAGGAAACTATCAGATGCCTGTAGAGGATCCAGATAAACAGCTTCTAATACTGCTCTGACCCACCCATCTACTGACATCATCAAGAGAGGAGAGTTCTCTTTAGAATGAGAAATGTTCCAAAATCAACTAAGCTCTCTGACCCTGAAGATACTTGGTTTCTTCCAGGTTTAAGAGATTATAATTCTAAACCTCATGACTCATAAGAAGATGGCATAGTAGTTAAGAGCACAAGACTGGGTCTGTGACTTTAAGCAAGTCATTTATACTCTTTGAGCCTCAGCAACAATAATAATAACAATGATGATAATATGTCATCTCACCTCATTGGGTTGTACAAAGTAATACAGGTAAATTACTGAACAAAGTACCTGGTACACGGAGACCTTGATAAATGATTGCTTTTGTTGTTATTAGATTATAAAGAAAGAAAAAAGTCATTTGTGGAAACATTACCGAATGTGTGTTTGTGGACACAGAAAACAAGGATCATATACCAAATCCTCACTGCAGTATGGAGGAAATCTCCTATTTTACACGCATGTAATTTTCAAAACAATTTACTTCTGGCCTGTATCTTTTGTATGGCTTTAAAAATAAGGTCAATAAAAAATAAAGATGGCTCTTTTTCACTTTTATCTTCAAAAATGTCACTGCCAACCAACATTTCCTATTTGAAAAGGAGAATGGGAAGGCCAACACTCCAAACTGCCTGAATTAGTAGGCTAAGGCACCATAATGAGGGAGCTATATTTAGCCAGGGGGCTGGACCCTGACCTTCACAGTGAAAAATGGATTCCATCAAAGCCTGTGTCTGGTGTGGGCAGTACACCTCTCTGAAAAGCAACCGTTTCCTTGAACATTTGATGGGTCTGGGTCAAACTTTGCCGATTAACGAAGTTGGGGGGGCTACCTCAAAAAAGCCTCACCTCTAGATCACCAGACAAAATGTCTGGATTGCTTCTTTCCCAAGGGGGATCAAAGAAAAAGAAAGCAAACCAACGGATACAATCCTATATACTACTTGGTTTTTGTTTTAAAGACATTTTTTTAGCATTCTGGCAAAGGAGCCTCAAGCATAAGGTTAGGGGAAGGTTCTGGAGGCAGCTGCCTCAGGCCTCTTGGCAGCCACCCTCCCTCAAAGAGGGCTCAGAACCTGTGCCCTCCACACACTGAGCCATTCTCAGAGTTGGTGATTCCTCAAGCAACACAGAATGAGGGCCTGTGTCACTGTCTACCAAATCCCACCAATGAGCGTTCTCTTCCGCATGGGGGCAACTACTCTGAACCACATCTGGAAATTGCGAACTCTCTCTCTCCTCTGTGCTGGGTACTTGGTCCTACGGCTTCCCAACAACTGCCACCTGTCCATCGGCTAGAATTCATGTCTGATTGATCTTGTTGTGTTCCGAGCCTGGCACAGAGAAGTGACTCAATAAGCCAAAGACCAGCAAAGCAACTCAAGAAACCACCCTCTTTGGCCTTTCCCACCCCCTCCAAGTTTGGCTCTCTCCTCTTTCTTCCAGGCCAGCTTGCACTTCCCCTCTGTAATGGCAAGCGCGTTCCTTTATAAAGTCTGAGGCTGCCTCTTTCTTTAGAGGGGCGTAGAATCGGCCAGATCTAGAATATCACCATCCTGCAAAAGTAAGAGAAGCATTTCTTAAGGGGTAAACTACAAGAAAACGTGGTTTCTAGTAAAGCAGGTGCGTCTGCTGGAAGCGGTGGAGTCCTATGTAACACAGAACACTTTCAGATCAGGCACTGAAAAGGCCTTGAATATACCGACACCAGGAAGTGAAAGCAGAAAGAGTAACCACGTCTGACAACTCCTGGATGAAAAAGCAAGAGAACCCCATTCCTGGGGTCAGCGCAGCCGTCACCCCACACCGGGAGATGCGTCACCAGGGAACACCCACCCTCTTGCTCCCAAGCTCAGATTCCTTGTACAGTGTGGAGGGCACTACGCAGAGAGATCGACAAAACACGTCCCTCCTTAGGTACCCTTTTTACACTAACACCCCAGAATGCAGAATCCGGATCCACACCCCGTCGCCCAAGTCTCCCAGGGCGGCGCCCATTCCCGCCAGCCCCAGGATAGGGTTTCACCACCTCCCTCTTTCTTCTTATTTTTACAAGACAGGGGCACTGCGAACATCTCCTTCAGCAAGTGCCTAATCAGGGCACAGAGAGGGGGAAAAAAAAGTCATTTTTCTTGTCCGAAGCTGGCAAAATGTCCTCACCCCTGGGAATCCCCCCACTTCTGGGCCCGAGGCGCGGGATGGAAAAGGGGACCACAAGACGGCTGCGGCCTCGCCCTGACAAGTTTCCACTGGCTTGACCGCTTGCACTTGCCAGGGCGGAGGCTGGGTGTGGAGAGCTTTTCCACATCCCGGGATCTTGTGCACCGGAGCCCCACAGTACCGCCCTCGATCGGCGCCCCGGAGGGGGACCCCACTTACCCCACAACGGAAATCATCATGGCAGCCACCACCAGGTAGTTGGTCTGATAATACAGCAGGTTGCTCACCACGCGGTTGTTCCATTTGGAAATGTCCCTGAAGTCCGGCCGGGCAAAGCGGTCAGAGCCAGGGAAGAAATCGTCCCAGGCACGGAGCGGAGCGAAATTCACGTCCATGTCTGGTCTCTCAGCTTCTTGTTCTTCCCCCTCTGGAATCTGGCGGCGGCGGCGGCGGCAACCGATCAGCTGAGCTGGGTTGGAGTTGACAGCCGCTCTGGCTCAGTCGGCTCTGAGGTTGGTGAGCAGCGGAGCGAAAGAAATTGGGAGCGGGCGGGTGTTTTTCCTCTTCTTTACTTCTTGATTGGCTCTGAGAGGTTGGTTACAGGAAAAGTGGGGCCTCGCGGCATAGCCAGGGGCAGAGTGCAAAATAGAGATGAAATGATAGAAAGAAACCAGCGGAAGTCCCCAGGCTGAAGCGAGATGGCAATGACTTCCCTACCAGTCTGAATACACACAGCCTCCTTTAAAATATCCCTTTTGAGTCTTTAACCTAAGAATGTTCTAGACTTTAAGGAAATTTTTTGCAGCTGTTCAGATGCCAGTCTAAGAGAAATGGAATGGAAGGCAACTATAGTGTTACTGAAGATGAGCTGTTTTTGAAAACTAACTAGTTACTAACCTCTGCACATCTGAATGCAATTCTCATGCTTTCTGTTTCACCATGAGTCACTGAGTGAAATCAGATTGGCAAAATGGGAAAGAAGGACGTGTAGAATGGAAAGGCTGGCTTGTTTTTTCACTTCTCTCTCTTCTGCAACTCTGTCTTTTCCGGACAAAATTATTGAACTACTGTGCTATTCTGATACTGCAGTCACTCGAGTCACATCAGCCTTGAGCTGGGAGGTCATTCACATTTGAAAGCAAACAATGGTCTGCAGTGACCAATAGTGTACAGTAATTGCTTACAATTAGATATTACTGCTATTGTTATTAATAATAGCACAGGCCATGATTCATATGTATGGTATTAATAGTGCTTTAACCTGATTTATTCTCGGTGCTTTATTATGAACATCCTCTGATTTTTCTCTATCTTGCAGTTTTATTGGTGTGGCTGTATCTGAGTAGGCTTGATAGGGCACTAAAAGTTTGAAAACTTCAGTAGGATGCCAACAGATATTTTAAGTCCTTTCAAGGCACTATAAAAACACTGTGGGGATTTTTAAAAAGGTAAGAAGAATTCAGCCTTGCCCTGCCTTCAGGGATCTTGCAATGCAGTGGAAACTAACTTAAATATATTACAGTAAGAGGAGTGCTCCGGAGAGATGTGCCAGACCTTGGTGATCAGTTACAGGAAGTAGGAGGGTGTGGAGGAATTCCCTGGGGCTTAAGAATTTCAAGAGGCAGCACTGTGGGCTAGCTGAAAAAATGATCTTGGTCGTGACCAGCATACCAGCCCCATTAGGACCCTGCACCTGTTGGAGAGATCAGTGAGCATTAGGAGCTGTGACCAAGACCCTTCCAACTGCTCAGGACTGCATGACCATAAGCTGTCACATGTCTTTTAGTAATAGTATGATTCCTCATTGATCATAGGCAATTGATATGCAGTAAACGTTTGTTCAGCATATATTTATTTATTTGTTTAGGGGCACCTGGCTGACTCAGTTGGTGGAGCCTGTGACTCTTAATCTCAGGGTCTTTAGTTCAACCCCCTCCCCCCTCCCCCCCCCACATTGGGCATGGAGCTTACTTTATTTATTTATTTTTTTAATTTTTTAAGGTTTATTTATTTTTGAGAGAGAGAGAAAGAGACACAGTGCGAGTGGGAGGGGGCAGAGAACGAGGGAGGCACAGAATCCGAAGCAGGCTCCAGGCTCTAAGCTGTCAGCACAGAGCCCGACGACAGACGACACGGGGCTCAAACTCACTAACCGTGAGACCATGACCTGAGCCAAAGTCGGACTCTTAACCGACTGAGCCACCCTGGCGCCCCAAGCATGGAGCTTACTTTAAAAAAAAAAAAAAAAAAGAATTTGTTTGTTTAAACCTCCAAAGAGGTTTAAAAATAAACATCAACAGGGGCGCCTGGGTGGCGCAGTCGGTTAAGCGTCCGACTTCAGCCAGGTCACGATCTCGCGGTCCGTGAGTTCGAGCCCCGCGTCAGGCTCTGGGCTGATGGCTCAGAGCCTGGAGCCTGTTTCCGATTCTGTGTCTCCCTCTCTCTCTGACCCTCCCCCGTTCATGCTCTGTCTCTCTCTGTCCCAAAAATAAATAAACATCAACAAAAAAAGCTGGATATAACTGTATTTACCATGATTTCCTTCTCCCTCTCTCATAAGATATTAATCATGCTTCTCTCTCCGGCTGCAGATGAGAGAATTTTTTTTCCACTACACATTTCTACCTTTGTCAAAATCATTTCAAATAAAAATGGACACATGTGGAATCCTTACTTTATGTCAGGTACTATTTGAAATGCTATTAGTAGCAGCTTTTTGCCACATTTCATTCAGGGGGTCAAATTCAATGTAAAGGTTTTCCTGGGGCCCTTATGTCCACACTTATGCTTCTAGACAGGGCCACCTGAGTATTTATCTGTCTGTATACAAACCACAGTGGATAGTCTAATAGTTTATGATATATTCCATTCCAAAGAAAAAAAATCTGTTGCATGTCTGTTACTTTCATTGCTGGCTGTCTCTAATTGGTCAGTCTGAGCCAGTGGGAGTGCCTGGTGTCATCTACCAAAACACCACCACAGGAGTCTAGGTGTTAGATCCAAGGCACACAGATGCAGGGCTAGATGCCTCTGCAGACCTCTTCTCCATCCAGCAGCACCCTGTTCCTGGACCTCAGCTTCCTCCCTGTGAAATAGGTAGGTTTGGACTAGGTGATTTCCAAGGCACCTGTTGGTTTCTATCATCTGAGGGGGCTGTGGTGCTTGCTGCCACTAATCAAAAGATCTCCTGAAAGTAGCATTGCTGGGGTCCAGCCCACATGAGCCTGTTTTGAAAAGCACTGGTTTAATCTCAGTGGTTTCTACCTGTAGAGTAGTCTGGAGGGGGAAAAAAAGAGCTTTCTGGGTTGATGTTGAGACACCTGACCTGGGAAAGTGGCTGGTATCTCCTGCTACTGACTGTGGACTGTGAACTCTGTCCTCTCCCATTTACTGCCTGGCACTAATTTTCAGCTCAATGAATGCTATTAAACTCAACCTGATTGGGGAATAATAAAGGACAAAGAGAAGACAATATCATAATTTATTAACAGCAGCTACATTTACTGAGTACCCATTAGGCTATATGTATTTCACGTCAGTAGTTCTCAAACTTTATTTTGAATAGAATCATTCAGGGCCTTGCAGAAGGTTGGGGGTGGGTGTGAGAACTTGCATTTGTAACAAATTCCCAAGTGATGCTAATATGCCTGATCAGAGATTATATTTTGAGAACCATTGTGTTTTATCCAATTCTCAGTCTTACAAAGTAAATATTTTACAAATAAAGACCCAGAAGTGCCGAAGGTCTCATAGTTCATAAGTGAAGAGTTAAGGATTTATTATTTTTTAAATGTTTATTTATTTTTGACAGAGAAATAGAGTGCAAGCAGGGAAGAAGCAGAGAGAGGGGGGACACAATCCCAAGCAGGCTCCAGGCTCTGAGCTGTCAGCACACAGCCCAAGGCAGGGTTGGACCTCACAACCCTGAGATCATGACCTGAGCTCAATTGACTGAGCCACCCAGGAACCCTGAGAGTTAACGATTTAAACTGTATTCCTGAGTCTATATCTCATTTTTCCAACCTTCCGCTCCAAGAAAGGATACATATATGTATGTATATGTACATGCATGTATGTATATGCATACACATACATGTATGTACATATACATACATGTATGTATATTTTAATATAATATTTTTGTATTGTCATTCAAACACACATGTGCGTGCGTGCACACACACGCGTGCGCGTGCGCGCGCGCGCACACACACACAAATGTATCTATCCATCTATCAGTGTATGTCCGACTGTGGAAGAAAATAGCCCCAAATGTTATTACCGTTTATCTTCAGGTGATGAGATTATGGGTGTTCCACAGTATTCATTAATTTTGTGGTTTTTTTCCTTTGTACTTTTCTTTTGCCTAAATATATATATTTTCCCCCAAAAAAGTGTTTTTCAATTCAGTTCCATTTCCGCTTAACTTCTTATCTGACAGAATGATGTGACATTAAAAGATTACCACTGATATTCACAAAGGAAGAAAATAATCTCTCCATCCCACCACTATAAACCGATTTAGATACGTTTTATTCTTACAGTGAGTACCCTTATGCAAAAATGTTTCCTGAAAAGTAAAAAGTGAAAATTACTCTGATGCTTTGCGTCAGGGAAAAGGTCAGGCGTATGAAGATGGCTCTTTCAAAGAGTTTTTTCATAGAATATATCATTTTATATAATTGTTAACATAAATTGTACAAACATATAATGTATTATATGTATATTTTTACTCAGCATCACATTACACTCTAGGTAAGATTTATGTAATTAAGTGTAGTTAATCAAGATTATAATTACAAGAAAGGCTTTAAAACCCATCGTAGCCTCCGCGCAGTCAGCCCCACCCCTTCCTCTGGCCCCGCCCCAGTGCTCCTTTCCGCCCCATTTCGTTCGACCCCGTTGACCCCGCCCCTTCGCGTCGTCCCGCCCCTGCGCCCCGCCCGCCGTGGGGGCACCTGGGAAGAGGCGGAGAACAATATGGCGGATGGCGAGGAGCCGTAAGTACTCGGGCTCAGCAGGCGTGCCGGGCCGGGCTGGGTTGTGAGAGAGCGCGGCGGTGGGCGGTCACCGCCGCCACCCGGGGTCCCCCAGCCCCCCGCCCCGTCCCCTCGCCCCCCCATCCCCTCGCGGCGCCCAATGTGTAGCGTGATGCTGACCCTTCTTTTATTCTCTCTTTCTTTTAGGGAGAAGAAAAGAAGGAGAATAGAGGAGCTGCTGGCTGAGAAGTTAGTGCTGCCGGGAGGCCGGGGCCCTCTCCGGGGACCCCCGCCTCCCCCGACCCCAGGCCTAGGGGACCAGCCGCAGCGGGCCCGGGGGGCTGGGAGGGGGGCACCCGGAGCGCAGGCCGCGCGGCCTCATCCCCTGACCCCCATCCCGCAGCCCCAGGGGCCTGGCGGGCCGCTCCTCGTCTCAGTCTCGGGCGGGCGCCGGGCCCGGGGTCTACCGCAGCAGGTCCTGCACCGGCCCGCCGGGCTGGTACTTGACCAAAAGTCTTGCGGAAGGACCCTTGAGCCCCAACCCCTCCTCCACCCCAATTGTCAGAGCCGTGACCTTGTGAAAAGGGAATCTTTCTTAAACACGTGAAACGGACCGTAGGCCTGTTTGGCCTTTCGTAAACACTGAGACAGTAGTATTAATTGCAAACTTTTTATGAGAACTTTCTGCATAAGGTATTGCAGTAAGCACTTCAATCATTTTTGCAGAATAATTGGTTCTAAAAGGAGAGTGTTGATTCCAAAGAGTTTATTTTCCCCTGATAAGTTTTTATCAGATACTTAATTCTGTGCTGATGAGACAGATTTAAACAAAATGTTTTCCACCCTGGCCCACACCACTTAATGTTTCATCTCCCTACACGGGAGGGGAGGAACGTACTCTTGCAGTGGGTGTGGTGAGTTAGTAATTTCTGTGCCAGTTCCCGGTAGCAGTGCTTTAGAATCTACGAATCTCCTTCGGAGAGTTTAATTGCAATTGCAAGAGGACTGGAATATCCAGCTTAATTTCACATTCCTTCCCATCTTTCATTTCCTTTCCACTTTTGTTTAAAATGACAGTTAAGATTTGAATGCTTACTATATGCCATGCATTTTACTAAGTCCTATATGTGGATTATCTCTTTATCCTCGTTCTGACCTTAAGATGTAGCTACCACCTACACATGAGGTTTATGGCTGTTAGGTAATCTGCTGAAGGTCACAATGTTGTGGAACCAGACCCAGCTGAGCTGTGACATCAAAACCTGTGGGCTTTATTGTTAGGCAGTACTTATTTGTCCCTTCGTAAAAATGGGGTATTACTAATACATTTGAAGGTAGCAACTGTGGGTTTATAGGAAATTTGAAAATTAAAAATAATCAAAACCAAACATGTATCTTGCATAGAATAGGAAACACATTTTGTATTTTGTTAGAGGAGTCTCTCTCTACTCAGTTGTATGTTCTAAAAAGTTTTTAGATAGTAATGCATATCTGTAGTATAGTTGTAACCCCAAACTTTATTTGTGTTGAGTGGAAACAACACCTCATAGTTAAGAGATTCTTTCTTGAAAATTGGGACCTCTTTCAGACAAAAATGTGTAACAGTTCCTCTCATCAGAAATAATCATTAAATCACACCTTTCAAACTTGGAAATGACACATGAATTAGATTTGGAGCATCACACATCTGAAAGTGGAGTTTTTTTGTTTTTTGTTTTTCATTTTCCTGGTATAAGTGTGTTGATGGAACAGACTTGGGTTTGCAGTAATCTTTTATAAATTCCAAATGTAGAAAAGCCCATTTCTCACCAATTGACCAAAATCCCAAATTTGATCTTGGTTTGCTTTAGGATCCCAGAAGCACGTAGAATGATACATCTCGTCAAACGTGCTGTTCCTAACTTGAAATAAACTATATAATAGCCAAGGGAAAATTTAAAAGCATAAGCCTAATCATACTGATACTTCCCTTTTTATTTGAGCAGGTCTGGTGTGGTTACTTTTTCATTTGGGGAAACCATAATAGTTGTAGGTGTGGCTTTTTCCTACTGATCTTTGCAGCTGAATTTACTGTGTTCTGTGCAGAATGGCTGTTGATGGTGGGTGTGGGGACACTGGAGACTGGGAAGGTCGCTGGAACCATGTAAAGAAGTTCCTCGAGCGATCTGGACCCTTCACACACCCTGATTTCGAACCGAGCACTGAAGTGAGAAACGTTTATTTTTAAATAACTCCTCTAATAGTTTTATGTTTCAAAAATAATAAAATGCTTTCTTTCTAATTTGCTCTTTAATTAAAAAATACTAATACAGTTGTGTAAGTTATCTTGAAATACTAAATTGAATATTTGCAACTGATTTTATTTGAATGACAAATATTTAGTAGTTTTCACATTTCTCATGTAATGTGTTGAGAATTCTCAAGAATAAAATAACTTTATAATCTGAATTAAGATTCTAAGTTATACTTCACTTAAAATTACAGTTTAAAATGACTTCTGAGACACATTCCCCATTTTAGCCCTACTCTGAGGAATTAAATTTGATAGAGATATACATGTACTTGCTTAAGTTTTGAAATTTAGTTGAAATGCGCATCTTAGAATTGAGTATAATTGTATGTTAAAAATTATGACTGCTCTATAGTAGAGGAATAGAGTTTTGGACTGGGAGTGTTTAACTTAAGGCAAGTGTTCAATTAGATACAACTTATTTTTTACTACAAGGTAGAGGATATCTTCTCCATAGTTAGTGTTTATGTCCTTTGTGTTTATAAAGAGATGTTGTTGAAATAGAAATATTATGCTATTCCTAAAATTAAGGTACAGACTCTTGGGTTTCAGTATAAATTTTCTCTCCTTTCGTCTTGGACAGAATTGCAAGTATTTTGAATTTCTTTGGATAATCTACCTTTTATTTTTTTGCCTGATAATTTAAGATACTGGTGTCAAATGATTGTTTTAAATTGTATTTCTCCTCATGTACAGTTTTCTAAGAGTTTTGTCCATTTTTTTCTTTCTGTTTTCTCTTGTTTTATAAATGCCATTATTGTTGTTCTTACCTTTTTAAGACCTTTAAACACCTTGTGCAGTGCTTGATCCTCTGTTAAAGTTTTTACAAACTTTTCTCTTCTTAGGAAGTCAGTTAAATAAGTAAATTTGCTGTTTTCCATCCCCTTTCAGAGTTAAAAAAAAAAAAAGATGAGTCTTAATTAACTAGGTATAGTAGTTTTTCTTGTTGGACATGAACTTTTAATTTCATAAAATGAAAATGAATTTAAAAACACTAAAATTGAAACCCGCTGAAATCATTGGGATTATAGAATTTCTGGTTCTACCTTGTTCATAAATTTAAAATTATTCATTGCATACAAAGTCTGCTCTTTATCTTCAATTGCTTTTTTCACGGAAACATTAGAAACTTTTATGGCGATTGCTTTATTGATGGTACTTACGGTTATTATCAACCAGATTTTAATAATGCCTTTTCATTCTTTACAGTCTCTCCAGTTTTTGTTAGATACATGTAAAGTTCTAGTCATTGGAGCTGGCGGCTTAGGATGTGAGCTCCTGAAAAATCTGGTAATTTATACATATATGTATGTATATATGTATATATATATATATATAATGTATTTTTTTCCTCCTTGTGATAATTAGTCCTTTTTCTTTTTCTGTTCTATTACTAGAAAATTTCTTTATTATGATTGTTAATCTTTTCTCCTGAGACTTTGTTAGATAAATTTAGCAGGTCAGATTAGAGATAGTAATTAAAATGATGATATAACTGTGGAACTTTTTACAGTCTAAAGTTTTCAACTGTAAAGTTGTTGATAGAAATTCTTCTGTTTTCTTCTCTGGTCTTTATTAAATAAATCTTTGTGCTTCCTCTTGCATAGCAGTCATTAATTTCAGTGAAGTAAATATCAAAACTGGTAATTCCTATTTTAACATGTAATTTCAAAGAATTATTTCTTCTGTTCCTCAAAATAACCCAGTTAGGTGGATAGGATATTGTCCCATTTTACATATAGGGAGACACTGAGGTTCAGAGATGGTAAATGAATTGCCCAAGTTTTTCTGAAGAATAGTGATGTGCTTGGAACCTAATCCAGGTCATTAAATCTTAGTGAAGTGTGCTTTTCACTGAGCCATTAGGTCATTACAGGACTTAAACAGTAATTTGTGATGGCCATAAAATAGTAAACTCATGAAATTTCAGAGAGCTAAGCCTTTTTTTTTTTTTTTTTTTTTTTTTTTTTTTTTTGTCAATTTGTTTTCACAGTATCATCTTAAAAGAGGGTACTCTGTAGTGAAGCTATTTCTGTATACTGGTTTGAAATCCATAATATGTGACTTAAGAGTTTCGTTGACTTTTAATAACCACAAAGTAGCTTTTTATAAGGCCTTATTGGCTTATTTAACAAAAATGGTGAGGGGAAGAATTGATTTAAAGGTGTTGTATGTCAGGTGTTCGTTGGTGTGTCGAAAATTGGAAGTGCTAGAACAAACTCTTAGACAATGAGTAAAGTCACATTCACTGGCCAGATGAAGGACTTAAAAAGTTGGTCTTGGAGCTACAGTTTAAATGTAAACAGCCACATACATTTTGCTAAGAAAACACTAATGTCACTCCTAGTGGAACTGCAGAAACTCAATGCGCTTCATGGTACTTACTCCTGTGCTCAGTTCTGAAGGGATTGTGGGTCATCATGGTCTATGTCCCTAATGAATTTGAAATTTCATTGGAGGTACAAGTCGTACACAAAATAAATAGCATTGTGTATGATATACTATGTGATGTGGTGCCAAAATGACGGTACTTTCTTAAACATAAAAACCCTATTGCAGTACCAAGGAGTTCTAGACAGGAAGGATTTATGGAGGATGGGTAGTGGTTTTGGTAGGCATTGTATGCAAAAATCTCCTAATGCTTAACTTTTTCTCTAATGAAGCTATTACCTGCAAATGTGGTATATGGTAATTTTAAATGTAAATTAATTGGAGATTAGATCTAAGGAAGTCACCAAACAACTTTGATGCCTTATAATTTATTGTTGTAATAACCTCTTAATAGAAGAAAACTAAAGCTTTTCAATTACCACTTGTTACTTTGCTTATTTCAGACATAAATACCTAAGAGGTATACCTGATTTTTTTGACTATAAGCCCCCTAAAGACTCATTCTAAAAAAAGGGCCATGACATTAATAGTAATGATTGATCAATAGTTATTTAACCTCTTCACCCTCATATGCCAGGCATCATTTTGGAAGCTAAAGATACAGCCTTGAATAGTACTGACGGGTGTTTGTATTTGTGGGGCCTATGTTTTAGCGGAAGGAAAAAGACAAGTAAAATACATAATATATCAGATGGTAATAAAAGCTGTGGGGAAAGGAGGAATGCAAGATTGATAGCTTGGTAGATAGCCTGGAGAGAATGGAAGTGGTTTACAAAAAGGTGTTATTTGAGCAAAGGGGTGAGCAAGAATTCTTTAGGCAGAGAGAACATTTGGTGCAAAATCTGTCAAGTGGGAGCATGACCGTTACTTTTTAGGACAGCCAGGAGGTCATTATAGCTAAATCAGAAGTGGAAAAGGGGGAGCATTTTCCCACAGGGTATCAGAGAGGTAGTGGGAGGTGGAGGAGCTCAGAGTGAATATTACAAAAGGCTTTACAGGCTACTGTAAGAACTTTGCCTCTTACTATGCGTCAGGAAGTCAGTGGATGGATTTAAGCAGATGAGTTGACTTGATCTGACTTTTAACCTGGTTCACTGTGTCTGATATACAGAGAAAAAAGCTCAAGGAAGAACAGAGCAGGAAGCTGAGAGGCTGGTTAGAAGGTTGTTGGAGTCACCTAGGCAAGAGATGACAATGACTTGGAACAAGATGGTAGCATTGGGAGTGGTAAGAGGTGGTCAGGATGATGAATATGTTTTGAGATTGGAGTCAACAGAGTTTGCTAGTGGATTAGTTTGGGGACATGAGTAAAGGAGAGTGAAGGATGACATGAAAAGCTTTTTCTCCTGAGCAACTGGGAGGATGGAGTTTGCATTCACTGAAATGGAAGACACTGGGAAAAGAATAGATTTAGTGGTGTTGGTGAGCAAGGATGAATGAGTTTGGTTTTGGAAACTCTTAAGTTTGACAGGTCTGTCAGATGATGCTTTATCTTCCAGAATTGCCTGGGATCACAAGCACTAACGAGAAGTAAGCACAAGGGCACTCCACCTTCTGGCCAGTAAAGTAGGGGGAAAGCTCCTGAGTGAGATGAACTGGAAACCAGTTTTTAGTGTTCAAATTTCTCATGAGTGTAGCAACCAAGTGCAGAACGTATTTTAAAGAGGAGGAATTGGTCCATACCCGGTCACATATCTCAGGTGGGTACGATTAGAGAGACTGAAAATTGTCATTGGAGGTAGCGACATAGGAGTCACTGGTTACCTTGACAAGGGCAGTTTTCTGTGAAGTGGTGGTAGTGAAAGCTTGTTTAGTATAAGTGTGAGACAGGACTATGAGAAAGCAAGTATGGACAGCCCTGGAGGACATCTTGCTATCTAAGGAGGGGCCCAAAAGTAGGAGAATTATTGACACCTGATTTAATCTGTTTCACTGACCAAGACCAGAAAAGCATGGTTAATTATTGAGACTTGGTTTTTTCATTCTGTTGCTTCTGCTGATAAATTTGAGCAGTGGTTGTACTGTTAGAATATGTGGCCTTATTGAAATGCAACCATTTGTTGCTTTTCCTTAGCTTTTTTGATTGCTTGTTCTTGACTCAATACTTTAAGGACACTCCTTTGACATGTGCTGTGTACGTATGTGTGTTGGTAATATATAACTGTGTAATAGTTATTTCTGAAGCACGACATACTTAATGTTATGTAAACTAAGATAAAGCTTGTAGGAATATTAACAATATTCTGAAAAAGAACAGCAAATTCAGTTAATTAGTAAGACTAGTAAAATTAAAATAGCTGGCAACAGCAGCAAAGCAACAAACTTTACAAATGTGTTTACGGGATTATAAAACCGCTACAGAAATGTCGAGTTGTTCTCTTTTGGTTGTAGACTATTTAAAGTTGAGTAGTTACACATTTTTGACCTTTAGAAGAACTCTGAGTTTTATGTACCTTGTAAGACTCTTTAACCACTGAATACAATTATGTAGAATTTATTATTGAGCATTTATAAATTTAGAACTACATGAAAACAAATCTTAAAATTTCAAATGTGAGGAAATTTCTGCTTAATTGGATTTTTTTTATTCCCACAGGCATTGTCTGGTTTTAGACAGATTCATGTTATAGACATGGACACTATAGATGTTTCCAATCTAAATAGGCAGTTTTTATTTAGGTAAGTTTTAAGATCTTAGTTTAAAATGCTGATAATCACTTGAACTTGAGTACATTACAGTTTAATCATCTTTAAAAACTATGAGAGGGTAACACTCATTTTATTTAAAAAATAACTACCACTCCCTTTTTAGGTAAAATTTTGCAAGAAAATTTGAGCATTCTGGTGAAACTAGTTTTTTAAACAAATACATGATTTTGTTGTGCTTTTCTAAGAGATTTCCAAATGGTTTATGTGATTCGGGAGGTGATTGTGTTCTGAAGACGTGGAGTGCAGCCTTTTTCCTCCTGTTGATTTCATGAGAGAATAGTAGCCGGAATATTAGGCCCTAATGACGTACATTGGTGGGAATTTATAAGCCAAGAGTTGTATGGTGACTCTGGGGCAATGAAGTTGTGAAAGAGTTGGAACTTTGTTAATAGAAAGAAAAAGAAAATGGACAGTTAAGGAGAGAAGACCCAGGAACAAAGGGATAATTACCTTCGACAAACATGAAATACAGAAAGTGTCCAGAAATGGATTGTTAGAAATGACTTTAAAAACTGGAAGTAAATACTTTATGCCATATAAGGTTAGGTTAGCAGAGAAGGTAAAATTAAATTTTTGGATAGGCATAAAACCTCTCTCTTTGTGGAAGATATTAAAGAGATTGAGGGATGGGTTAAAGTCAAGTTAAGGAAGTGCTGTAATTGCGACGTGAACTCTACATTTAACTTTTAGGCCTTATCTTTTTGTTTATTTATTTAGCCCTTGAAATTATCCTTCTTCACAGAAAACTTTGTGGATCCTTCCTGTGTGACACATTGTTAGTACATAAATGCTCTAAGAAAGATCCCATTGAATTCGTTGGTTAATGATGATAGGCCATGCCCTTTAGTTTGTAGCTAAAATAATGATTGAAAATCATAATGGTAGTTAACATTTGTTGAGTACTTAAGATGTAGTAAACACTTTCTAAAGTCTTTATATTACCTCCTTTAATCTCAGAGCAGCCCTCAGGGCAGGTCATTGTTTTCCAGAATAAGCAATTAGGCCAGGGTGTCCTGCAAAGTTGATAACCTGTATAAAGCCTTTTTGTTCAGAGGGCAGTTTTTAGGTGGAGCGATCTGATCCCCTAATTCTGGAAAGGTCAATTAGCAGTTTCTACAGAAACTGTCTAGGAGTTTTTTTATTTGGGTTCTACTGTGGAAGCGCATATAATCCACAACATTAAAGAATCAAGCCTCCTTTATCCCTTTTATCTAAAGAGCTCTGTCCAGAGTAGTTGAATACAGTACTGAAATCAGGTTCCTTGATTTGTACAGTCTAGTTCTAGGACAAAGTCAGAATAAAACTCTTATTAGAAGTTTTGAATCAAGAAAAGCACACTGCTTTATTGGAGAGGAAAAAATTGGCCTGTTAAATTATTTTTCTTTAAAATTCCCATTTTAGGGGCACCTGGGTGGCTCAGTCAGCTAAGCGTCTGACTCTTTATTTGGGCTCAGGTCATGATGTTAGGGTTTGTGAGATTGAGCCCTGCATTGGGGTCAGCATGGAGTCTGCTTAGGACTTTTTCTCTCACTCTCTTTCTCTGTCCCTCCCCCACTTGTGTTCTCTCTCAAAAATAAATAAACATGAAAAATTTAGACTTCTAAAAAGTAAATAATAAAACGTAATTTTTATTAGGAACATTGATTTTTAAATTTTCATTTATTTTTAAAGTATTCTGTGCTTATATATGAAGGAATACAAAGATAGAAGAATATGGTCTCTTTCTTCCAGGTGTTCATAGTCTAATGGGTATGATAGATTTCTGTGTATAATGAAAAATATGTTGTGAAAAAGTAGAAACGAAGCTCTTACTATGTATGTGTGAGGGAGTGATTTATGTCTTTGAGGAGAATAAGGAAGTAGTAAGAAAGAAAATACCATTCATACTGAGATTAGAAGAGAGAATTCTTTGTGTCCTTTTCTATCTATAGCTATGGTTCTTAACTAGGAGTGACCTTTTTAGATCTTCTGTTTTTAGCTTCTTAAAAATGTTGGCAATATTGGCAATTTTAGATAATGGCTTTGGCATTGTCTCTTCTTCGAACACATGCATATGACTTCTTATGCGACATAAAATTTACTATTTAATCAACACACATGGGAAGAAGGGGATAAATGAAGGTTCTTGTATCCCCAGAATAAATCTCATGTATATTTCAGCCACCACCTCCATAGTAGCACCTTGAGGTTCTGGGGTTCAGGGAGGATTTGGAATGCTCTGAGTGTGGGATAATATTTTACATTAGGAAATGCCAGAGTGAAAAGTGGCCAGGAAACATGCCATTGTTATGCTTTATATGGAAAAAACAAAAATAAAAAACAAACACTTTCTATTTTCATTTAAGAAATATTTGATTAGACTTGTCAGTGCTTGTGAATTTTACAGTTTTACAGTTGTATTGTAAATACAATTTGGAACATCAGCAAGTGTTGCCATTTGGTGTTAGTGTTGAGTGCCTAATCACTCATCAAAAGTACTTCGATAAAAGTATTCCTTCTAAATATCCTCTAAATAAACTCACCATGAATATTTTTTATGTCTGAAAGTAAATTATATAGATCATCTAGATTTATATGATGAATGATAATTTAAATATAATTTTTCCTGTAGGCCTAAAGATGTTGGAAGACCTAAGGCTGAAGTTGCTGCAGAATTTCTTAATGACAGAGTTCCTAATTGCAATGTAGTTCCGTATCCTTTTGACAAAAAAGTTAACTTTCAAAAGCATTTGTTTTTTATTATAAAAGAGATGTTTAACATAGAGAATACAGATAAGCAAAAAAAAAAAAAAAAAAAAAAAATCAGCAGTAAGTTTATTACTGAGGTATCTGCTGGTGACGTTTTGTTTTATATTGCTTCCAATCTTTTCTTTAAGGTTATATAAATATTTTTTGCCCTAATTTTTAAATTAAGCTTTCACAGCCAGTGCCATTGTTTGTTTTGCATTATTGCCCTTGATTTCAGTTTGAATTACATATCTCTTTTGCTAGACTGTAAGTCCTTGTCTGGCTATAGTTAATGTTTATGTCTCCCTAGAGTAGCAGGCTGAATAGACAGTCACTGTATTATTAACCAAATGGAAGGTGTGTCGGAGTAAATTCATTCTTAGAAGAAATATCTTTTAAAAAAGTAGTGTTCTGTAGGTTTGGGGAACGTTCAGTATTTTATAGAAATTCAGGAGGTGAGCTTTGCTATTTGAGAAATGCCACAGGATACAAAACAAACAAAAAAACCAAATCTGTTTCTCTATACTAGCAGTGAAAATGTAGAAAGTGAAATTTAAAATACAGTGAATACCATTTATAGTCACTCAAAAGAAGGAAGAAATATAAGTCTAATAAAATAAGTATGTGACTTATATGCTGAATACTGCAAAATGCTGATGAAAGAAATCAAAGGTCTAAATGAAAGGAAAGGTGTTCCTTTTTCTAGAATTGGGTGATTTGACAGAGTAAGGGTGTCATGTCACCCTACATATGTACACAAGTTTAATACAATTTCTATCAAAATCCTGTATTGTTGGATGTCGTTGTTGATACAGACGAGATTCTAAAATGTATATGCACAGGTGACGGGACACTTAAAACAATTTTGAGAAAGAATACAGTGTGAGGAATCACTGTATCATTTCAAGACTCAATACAGCTACAATAATCAAGACTTTGTGGTGTTAGCAGAGAGAGACACACATTAGTAGAACACAGAAACCAGTAATAGCCAGAGGCAAATACGGCCAATTGGTATTTGACAAAAGTGCAAAACTAGTTTAGTGGAGGAAAGGATAATCTTTTCAACAAGTTGTGGAGACTTTTGATAACCGTATGCAAAAAAATGAATCTCAACTCAAACCTCAAAATTGAAAAAAATAACTCAAGATGCATCATAGGTTTAAGTATACAATGTAAAACTAAAACTTTGATGGCAGTGTACGAGAAAGTCTTTGTGATGTAGGACTTGGTGAAGAGGCCTTAGACCACATCAAAAAAGTGTGATCCATAAAAGAAAAAAATTTGAACTATATCAAAATTAAAAACTTTGTTTTGTGAAGGGCCCTGTTAAGAAAATGAGATGTAATTATGAGAATGGGATATAATTATGAAATAAGTATCTGACAAAGGACTTGTCCAGAATAAATAAAGAACTCTGAAAATTCAGCAGTAAAAAAACCATGCAATTCGGAAATGGACAAAAAATGTGAAGGGACATTTAACTAAAGAAGATAGTGCAAAAAGCACACGAGAGTATGTTCATCGTTGCTAGCTATAAGAGAAATCCAAATTATGACCCCAATGAAATATTACTACGTACTTGACATAGCCAAAGGAGAAAATAATAAAATCAAATCCTGGCAAAGCTACAGAAAAATTGGATCACAGATACGTTGCTGGTGGGAAATGTAAAATGGTATAGCCATCTGGAAAATAGGCTGTTTCTTAAAAATGTGAATATATACTTTCCATATAACTCAGTAATTTCATTCCTCAGCATTTACCCTAGAGAGACAAATACTTAGGTCTACGTAAAAATTATTCTCGGATGTTCATAGCATCTTTATCTGCAGTCTCCAAAAACTGGAAACAATCCAAACATCTGTCAATAGGTCAATTGTTAATACTGGTATAACCATGCCGTGGAGTAATACTGAGCAATAAAAAGGAATTAAGGAAACATGCAGCAAGTTAGGTGGATATCAAAGGCAGTAAGCTGAGGGGCACCTGGAGGCTCAGTTGGTTGAGCATCAACTCCTGATTTCGGTTCAGCTCATGATTTCGCAGTTTGTGAGATCAAGCCCTGCGTCAGGCTCTGTGCTGACAGCAAAGAGCCTGCTTGGAATTCTCTCTCTCCCTCTCTCTGCTTCTCCCCTGCTCTCTCATGCGCACCTTCTCTCAAAAAAAAAAAAAAGACCTGGTGAATGAAACATGCCAATCTCAAAACATCATATATTGTATGTTTCCATTTAAATAACATTCTTCGGGGCGCCTGGGTGGCGCAGTCGGTTAAGCGTCCGACTTCAGCCAGGTCACGATCTCGCGGTCCGTGGGTTCGAGCCCCGTGTCGGGCTCTGGGCTGATGGCTCAGAGCCTGGAGCCTGTTTCCGATTCTGTGTCTCCCTCTCTCTCTGCCCCTCCCCCGTTCATGCTCTGTCTCTCTCTGTCCCAAAAATAAATAAATGTTGAAAAAAAAATTTTTTTTAAATAACATTCTTCAAATGACAAAACTACAGAAATGAAGAACAAATTCCTGATTGCCAGGGATTAGACACGGATTGGAGTGACTAAACGGTTAGCAGAAGGTAGAGCATTGCCTTGATGGAATAGTCACATGTCTTTATGGTGGCAGTTCCACAAATCTACACGTGTTTGAATGACAGCTGTACATACTCATTTTTATCAATGTCGTGTTTTTGGTTTGGATACTATGCTATAGTCTCTAAGAGGTAACCACTAGGGGAAACTGGATGAAAAACATACGGGACCTCTTTGTACTAGCTTTGCAACATTCTGTGGATCTGTAGTATTTCAAAATAAAAAGTTTAAAAAGGCAAATACAGGCCCCTATAGGGAAAAGGATGAAGAAGAATATGCATACTGTTAGATCTGTGAACTTTGAGTATTTTGTAGAAATCTAGGGCATAGAATTTCTTAGTGTGGATCCTGGGTCCCCCTATTGCTGTTTCTCCAGTGTGTGCTCTGGTTCTCTTATGACCTCCCTGTGCTAGCTGCAGTTTATGCCTCCTGTTTGCCGAGCATTTAGAAGGAATAGAGGCCTGAATGGGTGAGGGCTAGAATTGAATTTGTTTTTTATAGCTTTATGTATAGTCCAGAATAAAAAATCTAGGACAAACATAATTTATATTGTCCCGTTTTTCTCTATTTTGCTTTTTAAAAATATATGATGGATGATTATAATTTAGAGAAGTATAATATATATTATTAAATAGAAAATTGCTCCATTAGAAAAATTAAAATATTTTGTACACGTGTGCTGTTAAAATGCTACCTACTATGATTGATTAACACCAACGGCCATTTTTGAATGGGGTTCTCTTTGCAGCATCCAGACAGGGAAAGACTGCTGATAGAATTTTGTAGGGTAAAAAAGAGAGAGACTTGGAAAACTGACTTAAATGAGAGAAGAACAAGGATTTGTTCCTCCCTCCTCCCCTGCCCCACTTACTCCCAAAATAACAAATCACATTAGTACCTGAAAAAGCTATTGGAAACCTGGTTTTTTAAAATTAGCTTCGCAGCAGTAATTCCTATTTTTAATGGAAAATGTTTGATACATAACTTCGTATAAATTCAAGGTGTACAAGGTGTTCATTTGTCCTAAGTCTTGTAATCGTGTGCCTCAGTGGGAACTGTAATGCGTGTTTCCTTCACTAAAATCCATATTGCCTCTTTGCTTAGGGCTAATGATGTGCTTAGGGCTAAAGCACACAGTCTGCTTTCCCAGGATGTATGGTTTGATATTAAAACTGAAGTCTAGTAGAGAGTATAACAGAGACATAAATATAATATGGGAGTTCAGAGATGAGAGAACTAAGTAGTTAAGGAGAGGAGTGTTTAGAAAAGAGGTGTTGTCATGAATTAGGATTGTGTTCATTTTGTCACATTCCCTGGAACACTGAAGACTTATGTCTTGTTAAATACATTTTAATTTGTTCCTTATGGCATTGTTAAATTCACTTTATAAATTAAAAACTTAACAGCTTAAGTTCCTTTACTTATATCCAGACATTTCAACAAGATTCAAGATTTTAATGACACTTTCTATCGACGTAAGTTGTCCACTTGAAATTAAATTCTCACTAAATTCTTCCTGTATTTTATTGCTATCTATTTGAAGGTTGCTAGCTATTTGATGGCTGTTTTCTTCATTTGTTTTCATCTCTTGGTGTTTGCTTTTCAGTAAGGTTGACTGAACAGAGAATGCCACTGTTGTAGTTCTTACTTGATCTCATTAGCTGCATTTTTATTTGTTGTCCTGAGTAAAGATTACTCAAGAATTAGGAGCTGTGTGTGTTTGTGTTGTAATAAAAGGTGGGGCTTTTTTGTTTCTTAGAAAGTGTGAATTATTTTGTGCAATGGCATTTTTAAAAGCTAAACTTGCTTTTTCTTCCATAGAATTTCATATAATTGTATGTGGACTGGACTCTATCATAGCCAGAAGATGGATAAATGGCATGCTGGTAAAAACTTTAGTGTTGTTATGATTCTTGGAAGTTCTTGCTGCTGCTTCTAACATATCAAAAATTAGAATACCATATCATATTTTTGAAAAATCATTTTAATTTTCACTCAAGTAGTTGTGCTTCATTATTTATTGCCAGTCATTAATTTTCAGGTGAGAATATAAATTGCTAATATCATAATCCCTTGATTTGATAATCTAGTACTCAGTAATGTGATTGACTTGTGAAATTACTTGACAGCATGTTATTTTTTTTTTAATTGTTATTCCCCTCTCCTACCTTCAAATAATTTTCCTAGATATCTCTTCTAAATTATGAAGATGGCGTATTAGATCCAAGCTCCATTGTCCCTTTGATAGATGGGGGGACAGAAGGTTTTAAAGGAAATGCCAGGGTGATTCTGCCTGGAATGACTGCTTGTATTGAATGCACACTAGAACTGTATCCTCCACAGGTAATCAAAACACCTGCATTTGCGTTTGTGTTATAGTCTCTTGGGGGGTAGAGTTAGGATTAATTATTAAATCTAGTTCAGTATTTAGGATTTTTAATTACAGGTAACCATATTTTAAAAATCATGCTAAGAAGAAAGATAAGAAATTATGGTCTATTTCTGGAAACATAGGAACCAAATATCACAGTATGATACTATTCTCTTTTCATAATTCCTTTGTATTCATTTTTTCTTTTGGAGAGTAGGGATCAAAGGCCAATTCTAAAGTTATATGTGGGATAGAGCTATACTGTATTTTCTTTGGTTTTTGCCTGTGATTGTTTTAGGGAAATAAAGATACCAGGGATGAGAATGATCCTTCCAAAGATGGGCCTCTTTAAGCTACATACCCACTTTAAGGAACAGTTAGAATTTTGATTTAAAAGTAAAAATGATTTTAGGGGCACCTGGCTGACTCAGTCAGCAGAGCCTGTGACTCTTGATCTCAGGGCCGTGAGTTCCAGCCCCATGTTGGGTGTAGAGCCTACTTAAAGGTTAAAAAACAAAAAGAAAGAATTTTATTAGTGTTTACTTGGGATTGATTCAACTCTGTGAATTTGCTTTTGTTTTGGTTTGTTTTATACCATCATATTTAAATAGGCAAACATAATGAAGTGCTCATATTTGAGAAATTACTTGGCAGTTTTCTTCTCATGATCTAACAAAGCTTAAATTTTGTACATGTAGGGCAAACCTATTGTTATAGGAAGATGAATCTAAGGCAGGTGATTCAGATGCTCTTTTAGTTTTAGAATTATTAGTGGTATAAAATGTTTTGTTTTTATAAGAGGAAAGCTAAGATGAATTAAAACCTACTATCTACTTTTAGGGAGCAGTCCTAATTAGAAGTTACATTTTAAAATAATTCATTGTTTAAAATCCACTAAAAAAGGTAAACTGTGCTTTCAGGTTAATTTTCCCATGTGCACCATTGCATCTATGCCCAGGCTACCAGAACACTGTATTGAGTATGTAAGGATATTACAGTGGCCTAAGGAGCAGCCTTTTGGAGGTAATAAACTGAATTTCATAATCTGGAATTATGTAAGATATATATTTGTTTATATTATCCGTTTGTGTAATTACATTAAAAACAAGTTGATTTAAGTTTACATGTTTCCGTCTTCCTCTCCTGCTTATTTTCTTTTTTTTCTTTTCTTTTCTTTCTTTTTTTTCCCCCCTAACAGAAGGAGTTCCATTAGATGGAGATGATCCTGATCATATTCAGTGGATTTTCCAAAAATCCCTCGAGAGAGCATCACAATATAATATTAGGGGTGTTACCTATAGACTCACTCAAGGTAAGTCAGTGAATTGTCATGAATTATAACCTGGGGATGATCCCATTTTCAAGGGTTGGAATGCTCTGAAAGAAATAATGGATAAATGATTTCAGATAGTACCAGCCATTTGCGGCTCAAAGTACCATGGAAATAATAGTTTCCAGGTGTTCCAAATTTGGTTGGAGGGAACAGAGTTTGACAGAATCCATACTACTTCTTAGCTAGAGGAATTTAATAAAATCTTACTGGAATTGGAAGAGGCCCTGCATCATCCAATTTGAACCATTCATTTTATCTTTCACTGAAGAGGAATGTGTCACGTCCTGGGACCATCTATTGCACATTTGGATAAGACGGTCAAGACAATTATTTTGTGTACTGAGCAGAAATCTCCATCTTTAGTTTGGTCTGAGTATTGCCCCAGCATACACCATAGATAAATCAGTTCCCTTTTGAGTAATAGCCTTTAACATATTGACAACAGTTATCATATTGCCTGCAAATCACTGTCATCAGCCTTTCTAGTTCCTTCAAAGCTTTGACATGTTGCCTGATGTTAAGTTCCCATCATGTTGTTTTTTTCTAACCATGTTCCAGTTGTCCATATTTCTCTTAACTATCTAGGGTAGAATGCAGCATTCTAGGTTTGGTCTTATAATAAACTTGTGATAATTGGTGCAGTCTTAGAGGAGAGCAGGGTTTTTTGTTATTTCTTTGCTTTTTATTTATGTTAATGGTATACTTCTGGTTCTTTAAGGTTACTGTCTACTAAAATCTGAAAGTTTTCCTACATGGAGTTGCTAAGCCCCATCTTCCTACTACAGGTTTGGCAGTTTTTTGGGGTGGTAGTTTTGTATCTTAATACTCAAGTATAAGTCTTTACAAGTTTATTCTTTAAAAAATTTTCTTAATGTTTATTTATTTTTGAAAGAGAGACAGAGCATGAGCAGGGGAAGAGCAGACAGGGAGAGAGAGACACAGAATCTGAGGTAGGCTCCAGGCTCTGAGCTGTCAGCACAGAGCCCGACATGGGGCTCAAGCTCATGAATCATGAGATCATGACCTGAGCTGAAGTCAGGTGCTTAATCTACTGAGCCACCCAGGCACCCCTTTAGAAGTTTATTCTTAAACCTGCTGTTACCTCTCTATATGTGCTTTTATGCCTGCCAGGTTTTCTCTTTTTTTCCAGCATCTTTTCATCTGTTGTTTTGATAATCATTGCTCTATCTCTTTTCCAAATAGTTAAAAATTTTTACAAGACTTAAGACATCCAGGTGGCTAAAAGACACCACATTAAATCCTCCACATTACCCATCATCAGGGAAATACAAATCAAAATCACAATGAGATACCACCTCACACCTGTCAGAATGGGTCAGATTAACAACTCAGACAACAGATGTTGGCAAGGATGCAGAGAAAGAGGATCTCTTTTGCACTGCTGTGGGAATGCAAACTGGTGCAGCCACTCTGGAAAACAGTATGGAGTTTCCTGAAAAAGTTAAAAATAGAACTACCCTATGACCCAGCAATGAATTGTGCTACTAGGTATTTATCCAAGGGATACACGTGTGATGTTTCGAAGGGGCACATGGACCCCAATGTTTATAGCATCACTGTTGACAATAGCCAAGTATGGAAAGAGCCCAAATGTCCATCAACAGATGAATGGATAAAGCACATGTGGCATATATATACGATGGAGTATTACTCGGCAATCAGAAAGAATGAAATCTTGCCATTTGCAGCAATGTGGATGGAAGTAGAGGGTATTATGCTAAGTGAAATTAGAGAAAGACAAATATATGATTTCACTCGTAAGAGGACTTTAAGATACGAAACAGATGAACATAAGGGAAGGGAAGCAAAAATAACAGGGAGGGGGGACAAAACATAAGACACTCTTAAATACAGAGAACAAACTGAGGGTTGCAGGAGGGGTTGTGGGTGGGGGGACATTAAGACACTTGTTGGGATGAGCACTGGGTGTTATACATAGGGGATGAATCACTGGAATCTCCTGAAATCATTGTGCTATATGCTAACTGACTTGGATGTAAATTAAAAAAAAAATTGTTTTTAACAAGGCTCAAGTAGCTGAGAACAGACATTTGAATCATACTTCTGGTTAGGCCCTTTTAGGTTTATCTCATTCTTTTGATCAGGCTTTCTTGAGTACTTGTTATTTCTTTGTCTTATTCACAAGGATGTCATGAAAGACCTTTCCAACTGCTCTGCCGAATCCTGGATATACTATCTTCCATGTTTCCCTGGGTTACCTAGTTACTCGTCACAGTAACTGAGTCCAACATGACTTAACTCGGTGAACAATCTTAATGCTCAGTCTAGTGATCAATGCTTCCTAATGTAGGTACTCACAGTTCATCCTTCCAGAATTTTGTTCCAAGTTCATCACTTAGTTCACTAGAAAAAAGGCTTTGCCATCTTTTTGAAAATCTGCTGTTTCTCTTCTGTGATTATTTCCTTGTATTTACTGATGTCCTGGTAATGTCATTTAAAAATTCTATTCTTACATGCTCCTTAGTGCTTCCTGTACTCCCCCTACTCTAACCATTCCAACCTGCTTTGTGTTCTTTTTAAAAAAAAATTTTTAACATTTATTTATTTTTGAGAAGCAGAGACAAAGTGCATGTGGTGGGAGGGTCAGAGAGAGAGGAAGACACAGAATCTGAAGCTGCCTCCTGGCTCTCAGCTATCAGTACAGAGCCTGACATGGGGCTCGAACCCACGAACCATGAGATCTTCACCTGAGCCCCCCAGGCGTCCCTGCTTTGTGTTCTTGAACACACCCAACTCATTCCCACCCTGGAGCTTTAATACTCCTAATTCTTTTTTTTTTTTTTTTTTTTTTTTAATACTCCTGATTCTTATACCAGGAATGTTCTTTGGATCTCGTTAAGGTTGGCTGCTTATCCCTCAGGTACCAACTTAACCAGTTTACTCTTTCATTCAACTGATAATGACTTCGGAGCCATTCACTATCAATGTTCATATAATTTCTCAGAAATAATGGTAGCCTTGTTTTCCTATGCAAAGAATATTTCATACTTAACACTTTGATACATCCTTGCCCTGGAGCCTTTGCCCTTACTGTTTATGAAAATGCTCTTTCCCCAGGTCATTGCATAGCTAGATCTTGCTCATGCTTTAGGTTTCAGCTCACATTATCACCTTCCTGAGGAGGTCATCCCTGATCATCCACTTTAGTGGACCTCTTCCACCATTGTGAACTCTACCATATACCTTGTTTTACTTTCTTTATAAAGCTCTTCAGTATACGAAAGCAGAAGGAAACTCTGTAAAAGCAAATACATGTTTTCACTGCTACTCGCGTAGAACGGTGTCTGGCATATAGTGCACATTTGGCAACAGTTTGAATTAAATGACTTAATTTTGTCCCGATCAGGAACTGTAAACTCATTTCAGTATGCAGCCTCTTTCATCCTTCCATATTTAGCAAGGCTTGGTGTGTGCTTTTGAGCCTGATGATTGAGAGCCTTGACAAAGTACAGAATCAAAATTGGAAGTAAAGGGGGTGGGGACAAGAAGTGAGGAGTGGGCGATGAGAAGTCTTTATCATTTTGGCTCTTACTGGGCAATGTGTCTTACATTCCTCACTGCGACTACCTGTTCTTCCTTTCAGTACATGCTGCTGTGTGTGGTTCACTGGAGAGCTTCTAGTTTAACCATCATGAAGTTAGTTCCTCCCTACTTCCCCTTCTCTGAAATTATATGTATTCATACAGTCAGAGTTAGCTTTTTAAAAATTAATTAATTAATTTTAAATTTATTTCTTTTTAAAAGTTTGTTTATTTTGAATGAGAGAGAAACAGCACAGGAGAGGCCGAGAGGGGGAGAGAGAGAACCCCACGCAGGCTCTGCGCTCACAGCAAAGAGCCTGCTGTGGGGCTTGAACTCATGAACCATGAGATCGTGACCTGAATCGGAACTAAGAGTCAGTCACTTAACTAGCTGAGCCACCCAGGCACCCTAAGTTTAGCTGTTTATTTATTTTGAGAGTGACGGGGAGAACGTGTGAGTCAGGGAGAGGCAGAGAGAGAGGAGACACCAGATCCCAAGCAGGCTTTACACTGTCAGCACAGAACCTGATGTGGGGCTCAGTCTCACAAACCGTGAGATCATGACCTGCGCTGAAACCAAGAGTTGGTCACTTAACTGATTGAGCCACCCAGGTGCCCCCAGAATTAACTTTTTAAAACAGGTTTCCAAACTTTTTCACTGTCTTTGTTCCATGTCTTCTTAGATTATTTGGCCTTTTTCTCAGTTTTTTGAAACCTGCCTTCACCTAAAGTCTGGGAACACGTTTTTAAATTCTCCCTCAACTCCCAAGATAATATGGCTACTTTTTTCTGAAGTTTTTGTGTTCCAAAATGAACAATTCAGATATAGTTAGGGAATATTCATTTTGTACTTAAAAAGATGGTGGAGGGTGGGGCTTTGTTCATTCCTAATCTGTGAATACTGATATGCAAAACATGAGATAGAAATAGAGTACAGTGAAATATTTTGAATAGTCCATATTATAGAGGGAAATGAGACGATGAGGGGCAGTTTTTCTGTTTGTTGTAAGTTTCGGGGAATCATTAAAACTATTATATGAGGAAAAATTAGTTAACTATTATTCTTTATACTTTATTCACACTTCACTGAGGATAGTATAGTAAACTGTAGCAGTTAAGATTATGCACTTGGGAGCAGATATAGGTTCATATGCCACTCGTATCACTTTATTAGATGTATAGTTGTGGATATTTGTCTCAACTTCATTTTCCTTACCTTTAAAATCAGAGTGATAAGACTAACAGGGATGTTATGAAAATTCTGTCGTATCTTAATCTTCATACTGTACCTGGAATACAATAAACACTCTAATTGTGAGCTGTATTATATTGTCTCTTTTATTTGAAGCTTAGTAAAGAGTTTTCTTTGATACTGTAACTGGTTTAAGATTCTGAACATACAACAAAGTGATGGGAATGTGAAAGAAGATCATTTCATTGTTAACCTTAAGTCTATTTTCTGACTTGAACTCCTGAAAAATCAAGTTGTGGAAAATGATATTTAATAATCAGATAGTCTAAGACACTTTTTAGAAGAAATGACCGTCTTTTAATCAATATATTTTTCAGGAGTTGTAAAACGAATCATTCCTGCAGTAGCTTCTACAAATGCAGTCATTGCAGGTAGGAGAAAATGGCCGTACTTAATTTTGTTTTCTCTCCTTTAGTTTTGATTCATTGAATTGACATTTTTGCAGCTGCTTGATTTCAGAAAACTAGTGTTCGAGAAATTTGGTATCTTCCTAGGTGGGGAGGGTGTAACAAAACTGCAAAAAAGAACAAGCTATTGGATCTGTATATATTTTGTTTTAAATTATGTCATAAAGTGCTCTGTAGTAAGGGGACATTATATACCTTTCCTTTTTTTTAAAAAATTTTATTATTATTTTTTAATGTTAATTTATTTTTGAGAGAGACAGAGACAGAATGCGAGTGGGTTAGGGGCAGAGAGAGAGGGAGACACAGAATCCGAAGCAGGCTCCAGGCTCTGAGCTGTCAGCACAGAGCCCATCGCGGGGCTCAAACAAACCAGCTGTGAGATCATGACCTGAGCCGAAGCTGGACACTCAACCGACTGAGCCACCCAGGCCCCCTATATACCTTTTCCTTTTAATCAGTGTAACAGATTGCTCATTAATCTAAAGAAGAGGAAGGAAAACATGCAATGCTACTCTCTTACTCGGATTATATAAAACAAATACAAAATTTGTTACTTTCTCAGTGTTTTAAAGAGTGTGTGTGTGTATAAATCTATATCTGTTTTTTAATCAATAGCCTTAAAAGTTTATCTGTTCTGATTTATAACTGACTTTTTAAAAAACTTGTAATTTTAAATGTCTAATTTTCATTGAGTTGAGGCACCTTTATTTTCTCCCCTCTTCAGCTGTGTGTGCCACTGAGGTTTTTAAAATAGCCACAAGGTAATGGATTTCATTTTTTAGTATCTATGTAAATCTGTGTTTTGACTTGGCTCAATTGTATAAAGATGAACATTTTTTCATTACAGTGCATATATTCCTCTTAATAATTACTTGGTATTCAATGATGTAGATGGACTGTACACGTATACATTTGAAGCAGAGAGAAAGGTAAGTACTATTACACTAATGAAAACTTGTTTGATCATGCATAGTTTGATTTTTACGTATTAATTACTGGTTAGAAATATGAGTGAAATTGCCCACATCCTATGTATTCTTTAACTTCCAGAAACCTACTTACTATATATCTTTTGCAGTGTAGCCCAAAATAAATACTGTGTAGCAAAATAATTTAGGAAAACAGGTCTATTATGAAAAGCAGATTTTAAAGCATGAAAATTTATTTGTAGGAAATACGATTATAAAACAAGTTGATTTTCATTTCATATTTATAGACTATTATTGGTGTGTATGCCACTATTATATATTGTGTTTTATGTGTGTAGGAGAACTGCCCAGCATGTAGCCAGCTTCCTCAAAATATTCAGTTTTCTCCATCTGCTAAATTGCAGGAGGTTTTGGATTATTTAACCAATAGTGCATCTCTGTAAGTATTCTGGATTTTATTTTATTGTAGAAATAATTTTTCTGATTTTAAAACTTTAAAAACTAGAATTGTTTTTTAAGAAGTGATCTTTGATTTTTTAATTTTATTTTGTTTTCCCTATCATAATTTAGGCAGATGAAATCTCCAGCCATCACAGCTACATTAGAGGGAAGAAATAGAACACTTTACTTACAGGTAATCAGTGTTTGGTTGTTTTTTTGTTTTGTTTTTTTTGTTTTTCACAAAACTATATTACAAGTCTTTTTTCTCATTATATTACAAGTTCAATTTCACTTAATGTGCTTTACATTAAAATAATTTTGTTTTCTAGTCAGTAACTTCTATTGAAGAACGAACAAGGCCAAATCTCTCCAAGACATTGAAAGGTATTTTAAAGATTAAAAAAAGAAAATGTTTATTTGTTTTGAGAGAGAGAGAATACATGAGCAGGGGAGGGACAGAGAGAGAGGGAGAGAGAAAATCTGAAGCAGGCTCCGTGCTGTCAGCACAGAGCCCAATGGGCTCCAACTTACGAACTATGAGATGACCTGAAACTAAATCAAGAGTCTGTCGCTTAACCAACTGAACCACCCAAGTGGTTTATTTTAAATGAATGAAAGCTATTTTAAATGAATATATTTACTAATCATTTTCTTCTTTTTTTCTCTTGGTAAAAGTAATGAATCCTTATTCTAGGTAATGCCTTTAAATGATGATTTCATTATAATTATATCTTTAGAAATGATAATAGAATTGTTCTTTCAGTAGAATATTAAAAAACTCAAAGAAATCAAAGATAGTATCACCTTGATTAAAGAGAATTGGATTTTGATGTTTATCTAGACCTTAAATGTGTACTTTGTATGTGTGTGTGTGTTTTGCTTCTGTTGAGATTTTTTTGCTTGGGTTAATTATACTTTTTCTATTATAGAATTGGGACTCGTTGATGGGCAAGAACTGGCAGTTGCTGATGTCACCACACCACAGACTGTACTATTCAAACTTCATTTTACTTCTTAAGGAAAATAAATCTGCACATAATAGAAAACTGATGGAAATATTATATATTACGTGTATGCTAAGAAATTTAATGTCATTTTTAGCGTTAGTGTTGCTAGAATTTGACTTTTTTATATAAAGAACCACTCTTTTTTTAAATTTTTAACTTACCTTGAAGACAGAATTTTGGGGTTGGTATTTGTAAGCATTTTCATTAATAATACGGCAAATGATATCTGGAGACAGAAATAATGAGCAAATGTGTTTCTTTAGAGGAGGAGGCAAACACTCTGATGCGTGACTTCTGTTATTATGGTCACAGAACGCATTCCTCAGTTTTCATTTGAGCACCCACATATAGAAAAGATACCCCTTTAAAGAAAATTAGAAAATAAAGTTTTAAATAACATTAAACATTACAACCTGACATCTAGAGCATATTGAACATAGCCTACTTCTTGCTTGATTTAATATTCATTTAATTGTGGTTGTCCAAATGAATATTAATTATTGCAAAGGTTACCGTGTCCATAATAATTTGTAAATGGTGTTATAGCTGAATACCTGTGCATGGAAATGGGAACTATTTTCATGTTTACTTGTAGTGCCATAGAGGCCAATATGCACAATATTAAAGCCAAGACATGGATGTTTAAAAGAATCTAATGTTCAAACAGTTATCACTGATGCTTTCACACTATTTATTAATAAAATCATATATTGTCTACTTTTCTCACTGAAAATTTTTAAGGTATATTAAGGATAGTAAGTTCCATAGTAATGTACATTGGAATAATTTTTAAATGTGTAGCAGGATTACTAATACAAAACTTTTATGGTACCACAAGAAATAGCTACTGATTTAATTTGCTCTCACATAATAATGTAATGAAATGGAATCTTTTTATATTGTCCTTAAAATGCCTTTTTCTTCCCTAAAAAATTAAGCCTTTAGACTAAATTAAGTGTAAGTATTGAAAAATTAGTTTTAGTGTCTCAATGTGGGAACATGCACTATGTGTTTTTCACTTAGATGGCAGTGTTCTATTCAAAAGCTTTATGATTACATGTCACTAGGTTAAATTTTTATTTATTCTTTTTAGCTCCATACCAACGTTTGTTTCATTATAAAATCATATAATGAGATACATAGTTATCGGTACTTAAAAAGTTACAGATTCAGGGGTACTTGGGTGGCTCAGTCACTTAAAGCATCTGATTTCGGCTCAGGTCATGATCTCACGGTTCCTGAGTTTGAGCCCCACATCGGGCTCTGTGCTGGCAGAAATAAACATTTTTTTAAAAATTTAGAAAGTTACAGATAAAGTTTGAATTTTGGAATATGAAGGGGCTAACATTTAGCACCTCCTTTACACGGGTGCTCTAATAATTCTCAGAGTAGCCTTGTGTGAGAATGTGTTCATATCTCCATCAGAGAGCTCAATCCTTTTAGAAAGTTTACATCATTTATCCCAAATTGTACAATTAGGAACCTTGGAACAGGGATTCCAACACCAGTCTGCCCCCAACCTCCTTCTCAGTCTACTTGTTTAAGCTGTTTTAAGTTAGTTACCTGAATTACTTAGTACTACTTGTGTAGATCACTAAATATTACGAGTTTTAACATGTAAATTTTTACTGGTTAGATGAAACTATTGGAAAATCATAAATAACTTTTCAAGGGCAAAGTTTAATTTTGTTTTAAATTAAAAAATGGCTTTAGGACATAGTTGCTTGCAGTGGGATAAAATGTAGGCGGGAAGCCTAAATAACCACAGCAGGGAGATGGAAGAGGTTTAATAGATTTGTGGCAAATTGGAGTGAAAATTACTTTTGTAAAGTGGCAAGTACCTCAGCTCACTGTTCACTGTTGGTATCCATATATTTTTTTTTTTATTTATATATGAAATTTATTGTCAAATTGGTTTCCATACAACACCCAGTGCTCATCCCAAAAGGTGCCCTCCTCAATACCCATCACCCACCCTCTCCTCCCTCCCACCCCCCATCAACCCTCAGTTTGCTCTCAGTTCTCAACAGTCTCTTATGCTTTGGCTCTCTCCCACTCTAACCTCTTTTTTTTCCTTCCCCTCCCCCATGGGTTCCTGTTAAGTTTCTCAGGATCCACATAAGAGTGAAACCGTATGGTATCTGTCTTTCTCTGTATGGCTCATTTCACTTAGCATCACACTCTCCAGTTCCGGTATCCATATTTTTCAAAGTCATCTGGAAATCGGAATTTTTGTATGGAATCTGGCTTCAAATGTTGACAGAATTTTGCGTTTAACATTATGGAGTCTAAATCCCTTAGCCACTGACCGGATTAGGTAGGCCACCAGTTTCATTTTTTCTCATAACGAAATGTTTGAAGAGTGAATGCAGAAAAAGTTGTATTTTAAATAGTATGCACAACACACGTTAACAGAGTAATAGTTTTAGTGCTTTTCAGGTTTGTTTTGAATGGGGCGAAGTGCGTACTTGTGAAGGGGAAGTTGTGCCTCAGAAATTCAGACTTGTAACACCTTGCAGATGATAGCTTTTTACTTACGTCATCAGGTGGGCTGGACCAGGCCTTTTATACAAAGTCGAGTATTTTCAGGCAAACCCAAACCCAGGGTTTCTCAGGTCCAGGTTAACACAGGACTGATTAAATATCTGAGACAAAGCGCTAATAGAAAGGCGAGAGCCAAAGTTTTGTTTGCAGTTTTTTTTTTTTTTAACGGTTTATTCATTTTTGAGAGACAGCGCAAGCGGGGGAGGGGCAGAGAGAGAGAGAGAGGGAGATACAGAATCCAAAGCGGGCTCCAGGCTCTGAACTGTCAGCACAGCGCCCCGGGCAGGTCTGGAACCCACTAGCCTAGAAATCATGACCTGAACAGAAGTTGGTTGCTCAACCTACTGAGCCACTCAGGAGCCCCTGTTTGCAATCCTTACTGGCAAGACGCTTTTAGTACCTGAGCTATTTTCTAGGAGGGAAGCCACGTGAAAAGTAGCTTTTCCTCCCGGAAGAAGCTACCTCTGCTAGCAGCCACAGAGCTGCTGGTGGCTTAGGATTTGCGCCTTACGCTCATAAGCACTATCAACAGAAATAGTTCCGCGTTCTCCGTAACTAAAGGGAAGCTTCGGGTACCGGATGTGACGTCTAAGTTCCTCCTTTTCTTCCGTCTATTGACGGAACTCTGGGCTCCCGGATTTGGTGGTTGTGTACGTGGAAGAAGCCCGCGCATGCGCGGCTCGAGCCTTTTCGTCTCAGCTGTGCGCGAAGGGCTGAGGGTAACGTCCCGGGCTGGGGGGGGATTGTTAGAGTCATGGCCCGCCGCTGACCGGGCCCGCCGTTTGAGGAAGGGGGCGAGGCCGTTCCGCAGCACCCCTCCCGGGGCCTCAGGCTGGTCGGACTGGCCCTCCGCCTTCCCGTTTGGTGCTGCCGCCGCCACTGCCGGCTGAGGAGGGGAGATGAGTTGGTTCAACGCCTCCCAGCTTTCCAGCTTCGCGAAGCAGGCCCTGTCCCAGGCCCAGAAGTCTATCGACAGGGTCCTGGATATCCAGGAAGAGGAGCCGAGCGCCTGGGCCGAGACCATTCCGTACGGAGAGCCGGGTAAGGGAGAGAGGGGCGGGGGGGTCCCGGGGGACCTGGGCTCGCGGAGGCTTCTCTCCTGTGGCAGGCGAACGGACGAAGAGGTGTAGGCAGCGCTCCTTCCCCGCCCACGGCGTTCTGAGCGAGTTTTCTCTCCCTAGCCCGTCCACGAATGCTCGTTTGTCTCCAAGTGGGTCTCTGTTGTTTTCCGGAGGGAGATCCCAGCCCCGGTTCTTCCGTGCCCGGGGCCCCGGGTGCGGGTCCTGCCGGCCTCGGAGGCGCGGGTGGCGATTTGTTGGGCTTGTTCTCCGCCCTCGCTCGACGTAGCTAGCTGCAACCACGAGCAGTCCAGAAAACTGGGATTGCTGCGCGCTCCGGGCACTGGGGAGCCGCGACGTGAAGGAAATCAGCAGGGACGGGAGGCACCGTGCCCAACGCTTAACGAGAGCTCCGTGCTCGGCAGCGCGGAATGTGCTTTTTTACGGCTTTCTCATCTCCCAGACACCACCTCGAGTTAGGTTTCTTGTTGTCGCCGTTTTACAGAAGGGGAAATCGAGGCCGGGTAGCTTCCTCTGGGCCATCCCGCAGGTGAGGGGTGGAATATGTTGGAGATACCACCCGTGGAACCCGGCTCAGGAGTTTGGGGTTGCATCACGTTGTGTTTTCAGAGAGCTGCGTCTCTCTCTCGGTTTCCTGGAGCCCGATCTTTTCAGGGATCTTGCTTTGGCTCTAAGCCTAAGGAAACAGTTGAGCATTTTAGTGCGAGGGGTAAAAATTTGTCTATTTGGGAGCTCTGAATTTATGTGCAAAAAAGAAGGAAGTTATTCTTGCCTACTTCAGTCTGGTTTCTTGTTTTAAATTTTACATCTTTGAAAAGGACCTAAGTTTGAGGTACTTCATTTTCAGATATTTTTGGCCCAGGCCTGTGTGTCAGGATCTTAGTACTTTTTACAAGATGCTGTGGTGACCTTGTGGGAGTAGCTGAACTTCCTTTTTCTTAGATACCCCACATTTTGAATTACTAAACCTAGAGGAGACAGCAGATAAATTTTAAACATAAGGATACTCGTTTTTTGAAGTTTGGGGCTTGAGTCATGTATATAATTTTTTAAGATAGGTTATCCAGAATAGACAGATTAGTGAAATATTTACTTACTGAGTATTTATTGATTGCCTTTGTTTTACATTGCCTCCCTCGAAGGTGACCAGCCTTTAGAATGGAGCAGTTGAGGGAGTTATCACATAGCCTTGGGATTTGTGTAAAACATTCTTCAGTTTCTTCTAGAGGGACATTTGACTTCTGTCATTCATTAAGGAGACCTACTAAATTCAACTAATTAGCGGACTTAATCTTGCTTGTTCATTTGTTCTTCTGGTTTTCTCCTTTTTTCATTGTTTTTATATACTGAACCGATAGATACACAACTGTGCCCCCAAACTGAAGTGTTCTACATACTTCTCAAGTCATATTATAGAATAGACTTCAGTAGAAGGCTAGGTAGTTTTTAGGAGCTTTTAGGTGCTTGTTCTCGCCCCACCAACTTTGTTTGTTTGTTTGTTTGTTTGCTTTTGTTAAAGTAGCCTTCACCCTGGGCATGAAGCCCAACACTGCGCTTGAACTCAAGACCCTGAAATCAAGACCTGAGCTGAGATGAACAGTCAGAGGCTTAACTGACTGAGCTAACCAGGTGCTCCCATCCCTATCTGCGTAATTGTGCAGAATTTGTGATGGTTCTGCTCAGCCACTTTTGAGTTTAGAAAAGGAAATTTTTTTTTAAAGAAATGCTTTAATATTTTAGCAAATAGCCCATTTTTTTGTTTATCATTGGGTTTTTTAGTATCATGTGTTTCTGTGACTAAATTACCTTTTTTACCCAGAAGATAGTTATTTTCTCTTTGGTGTTTTTAAAAAGGCCTAGTGTAAACTACCATCGGTATAAAAACACAATAATTCTTTAAAAATGCCCATCTTTGAAATTCATAGCACTTTTTAAAAATTTTATATTTTATTTTATTAAAAAAATTTTTTTTAATGTTTACTTATTATTGAGAGACAGAGACAGAGCTTGAGCATGGGAGGGGCAGAGAGAGGAGGAGACACAGAATGCGAAGGAGGCTCCAGGTTCTGAGCTGTCAGCACAGAGCCCCACGTGGGGCTAGAGCTCACATACTGCTGGATCATGACCCAAGCCGAAGTCAGATGCTCAACTGAATGAGCCACCCAGGTGCCCCTAGATTTTATTTTTAAGTAATCTCTACCCAACATGGAGCTTGAACCCACAACCTTGAGGCCAAGAGGTACATGCTCCAGTGACTGAGCCAGCCAGGCACCCGTGAATTTCATATGACCTTCTAATTGCTGACATAATTTGTAATTTAGGAAGGGAACAAAACTTTCTTATAGAGTGGGTTTGGATAATGACTCTTGGAGAATGAACTTGTCATTAAGTGCATGAAAATGAATGTGTCCTTTAGAAGTTACTGTTCCCATCAGTTTACTTTGATCTTTGGAAAAGGACATTTGTTGCCAGTATGCTGGGTTCAGTTTTTGAGTGTTACCCTCTTTCCGGCTCGTAACTATGTTTTATTACTGATATTATGACGAGAATAATTAATAAGAAACTGAACAGAAGGCCAGGTTAGTTTGCTGTGACTGCACATGATCTGTAAGTGAGGGTACTGCCTCTTGTTGTGAGATGCATCACAACATGTTGTGAGATGTGTATCTTAGACTGAGCATGTTATGTAACATATACCATTACTTTCTTAATTTGTTGTGGGAGGGAGTAACATATTTGCTTCTGGTAGGCCAGGCCCATTTTGATCTCTTACCTTTGTTCCTGGTTCCTAGTTTGGACAGATCCGTACCAGTTTTCCTCTTTAAGGCCTAAAGTTCTACAGTGAACTAATTAATCATATAATAAGCAGGTAGCCTAATAGATGCAAGTTATAGGTCGTATTCTATAGGTTTCCTGTTTTTAAACTATGTATTGACTTATAACGATTGTAATATTAACATAAAACGAATATATTTTTTCTTTTGTAACATATATATATGTATGTATGTGTGTGTGTGTGTATATATATATATATATGTATATATATATATATTTTTTTTTTTTTTTTTTTTTGTCAAAGGAATAAATCCCCCTGTCAGTGGAGGATGGGATACTTCAACCTGGGGGTTAAAATCAAACAGTGAACCTCAGAGTCAGCCTGTAGCTTCTCCTAAAGCAATAACAAAGCCAGTTCGGAGAACTGTGGTAGATGAATCTGAAAATTTCTTCAGTGCCTTTCTCTCTCCAACGGATGTCCAGACCATTCAGAAGAGTCCAGTGGTATCAAAACCACCAGCTAAATCACAACGACCAGAAGAAGAAGTAAAAAGCACTTTACAGGAATCCTTGCCCACTGGACAGTCAAGAACCTCGGAAACAACTGAGTCAAAAGTGAAAGACTCTACTCCATGTGTATCAGGGGAAACTCTGGCAGTAGATACTCCGTCGCCAAACACTGAGGGCAAGCATGAAGAAACTGTTAATAAAGAATCTGATACGAAGGTATCAACTGTACGTTTGAAGGTATCCGAAAATGTAATTAATGTGAAAACAACTAGGGAAAACATACCTAATATGTCGAATGCAGAAACAAAGGACGTGGCTTTGGAACCTAAGGAACAAAAACATGAAGACAGACAGAGTAACACACCTTCTCCTCCAGTTAGTACCTTCTCGTCTGGTACTTCTACCACCAGTGACATTGAAGTTTTAGATCATGAAAGTGTAATAAGTGAGAGCTCAGCAAGTTCGAGACAAGAGACTACAGATTCAAAATCAGGTCTTCACTTGATGCAGACATCTTTTCAGCTTCTCTCAGCATCTGCTTGTCCTGAATATAATCGTTTAGATGATTTCCAGAAACTCACTGAGAGTTGCTGTTCATCTGATGCTTTTGAAAGAATAGACTCGTTTAGTGTGCAGTCGTTAGATAGTCGTAGTGTAAGTGAAATCAATTCAGATGATGAACTGTCAGGCAAGGGATATGCTTTAGTACCTATTATAGTTAATCCTTCAACTCCAAAGACTAAAGTAATTGAATCTGTTGAAGGAAAATCTGAAGAAGAAGTAAATGAAACATTAATTATACCCACTGAAGAAACAGAAATGGAAGAAAGTGGACGAAGTGCAACACCTGTTAATTGTGAACAGCCTGATATCTTGGTTTCTTCTACACCAGTAAGTGAAGGACATACTGTCTCAGACAAAGTGGCCGAGCCGCACGAAACTGCTGAAAGTAAGCCAGAAGCACATTCTGAGAAGGAAGATGTTTGCAAGGTAAATCTAGAAACCGCAAGGGGATTTTTGGATATGCTTTTCAGAAATGAAATCATTGTTTATTGTTTATTTTTAACATTCCATATTGCATAATGATTTGTGCTGATTAAAAAAGGCAAGCATTTTGGCCTTTAGGATTTTAAAATTGAATTATTGATATTAAATTACTTGAAGTTCCTCTGAGACATCTGTGATAACATAAGTTGATATTTCAGCATAACTAAGAATGAAAAGGTTACCTCGCGTCGTTACTTTTGAGTCCTTTCACCTTACAGTTCTTGTATGCTGTGCTCATTTGTCTTTTTGCAAAGGATTGGCTTATGGTAACATACGTCTTCAAAGCCTTTGCAGGTAAAGGTGCTGAAACGAATATAAACACTATATGGGTTTTTTATATCAAAATTTGTTTTGCATGTTCACATTATTTGTAGCAAATCCTAAATGAAAAATTTAGTCTTTAATTATTGATGTCTTTCTGTTGTTATTAATTACTTGTTTGTTTTCTCTTTTATGTTATTTTGATGTTTCCCTGCTAGCTGTCTTAACATGAATAAGAATGGGAAATGTCCAAGGAACAAAGGCATTGCTTAGGAATGACAAATTGCTTCTATCTAATACATATAAAAGGAAAGTGGTGTAAATTCTTTAACATTAAGTCACGGTTTTGATTTTTCCTATGATTTTTAGATATAGAAATTGAGTTGGATTTGGCATCTTTAATAGACTCCTGAGATATAGGATGTCTTGAAGAAATGTCCTGTAAGTGCCATGTGTTGAATTATTTAATGTAAAAAAAAAAAAGTTCCAGATTCTGTTACCTAGGTTTAATATTATTCACACACACAAAAATGCCATGCTATAGTTATAATAGCACTTTGAATTGCTGAAATCAGCACTGTTTCGTATCAGTAAGATATTTTTGAGCTACTTTCAGAAGGTAAGTGATATCTAAATTAATCTAAACCTCAATCAGGTAAGACTTTTTTTTTTTTAAGTGCAAACAGCATCATTCCTCCCCTGATACACAAGTTTTTCACTGCTTCAGCAAGGCCTAAGGAGTAAGATACTGTTATCATTCCTTTTTGTTTAGCTTTACACTGATAAATCCTGGAGATTTTAAAGTTACATGCATATGAGTTTTTTTTAAATGTTTTTATTTTTTGAATGCAATGTATCATACTAAAAATAGTTACATGCTACATATTTGGATTAAAGAATAATATGGAAAAAGGGACACTTGCGTATCTATTACCCAGTGAAGATACAGGATATTACTAAAGGCTTTGAAGCCCCTGTGACCTTTTTAAAATTTTTCTTTGTCTCCATGCACACCTTTTTTTAGATTTTGCTATAACAAACTGCTGTAAATATCCTTGTATAGTAATGCAGGAGTTTTCTCCTCTAAAGTATATCTAAAATAATTTTCTGCATTCAATGGTGTGTAGATTTTCAACTAGTTATTAAAGTGGCTTACTAATTTATACTCCCACCAACTCTGTGGTTGTACTGATTTATACTCTTCTACCAGCTATGTATGAGTTCTTGTTCTGAATCCACTATGTTCTCATTGTTGCTAAGTCTTTTTATGAGGTAATGCTGTTTTAGTTACTATATTGATTAAATTACCTTTACAATTCATCACCTGCATGTAAAAATGGTCTTTTCAGTTAAATGTTTGACTTTGTGTATTCTTGTTATTCAGAGAGTCGAATTTCTGAATGAGAAACTGGATAAAAGGGAGGCTCAGTTATTATCTCTTAGTAAAGAAAAAGCACTTCTAGAAGAAGCCTATGATAATCTGAAAGAGTAAGTATTTTACAAATGTGAATAATTGTATGTTTTGTAGAGGCCCAAATGGTTATTATTTAAGAATTTTTTTTTCAACTAAAATGTCTAAAATTTAACTTGTTTACAATAATTGAAAATGGAATAGCATTTCAGTTATAAATGTAGAGATTTTTTCCTCAAATTATCTGTACCATATTACCTTTGGCATTTGAAGAGAGTTGTTTTGCAAAAACAAAACAAAACAAAACAAAAAACCTTTTCCCTTTTAGTATTAGATATTTAAAACATATATTTAAAGAAAACTATGATATCAAAAAAAAACCCCGACAATATTTGTTTCCTTTAAGGAGGTGATTCGTAAAATGTAACACAGATTCAAAATTTAAAAATTTTACTGTTATTTTTATACATCAAATAGGGGTGACATTTTCGATTTTTAATTGGTTGTCACTGAGGTGTTTTAAAATAAAGTAAGCCTGTAATTTTTCTTTTAAATGTTAACAGGCATAAAACTAACCAATTTTAGTGAGTTATGTGTTGAAGACAATGTTATTTTCCTTTTGCAAGCTGAACTCCTCTTGTTACCCTAGGAACATGTAAATAAGTACCTCTATTATTTTTAATTTAGTGAAATGTTTAGAGTGAAAGAAGAAAGCAGCAGCATTTCTTCCTTGAAAGATGAATTTACTCAAAGAATTGCAGAAGCAGAAAAGAAAGTTCAGCTAGCCTGTAAAGAGAGAGATGCTGCTAAAAAGGTAATGGAAATTAAAAATAATATTACTTAAGTTCTATACAGACATAGATTTTGAGGAATGTATTCATAATATTTTGGTATGGAAAAAAAGAGAAGTAACATTAAAGGATACCATACAGTAGGGGCGCCTGGGTGGCTCAGTTGGTTGAACTTCTGACTTTTGATTTCAGCTCAGGTCATGAACTCAGGGTCATCAGATGGAGCCCCACGTGGGGGCCCTGTGCTGGGCGTGGAGCCTGCTTAAGATTCTCTCCCTCTGCCCCTCTCCCCCACTTGTGTGCTCTCTCAAACAACTCTTTCTCTCTTTCTCAAAAATAAAAAGGATACCATATAGTATATTAACACTTAAATTATAGACTTTTATTTAATACCTTTAGACTTAGATTTTTGAAGCTTAAAAAAAAACTAAGCATATATTTGTATAATTTATCTATAAGTCCTTGTAAGATACATAGCAAGGATCATTAGAGTAATTTCATAAATGAAAATTTTGTCAAAATAAATAACAATTAAATCTAAATGGCACTTGGGGCGCCTGGGTGGCTTAAGCCTCTGACTCTTGGTTTCTGTTCAGGTCGTGATTGCATGGTTTGTGAGTTCCAGCCCCACGTGAGGCTCTATGCTGAGCTTGGGATTCTCTCCCCCTCTCCCTCCCTCCACCTCTTCCACTCATACTAAATAAATAAATAAAATAAACTTTAAAAAAATCTAAATGACACTGTATACATTTTTTTTGAAGTATTATTACCTTCATTTGTTACTTTCCAGCCACTTCAAACATACTATATGTACCTTTTCAAGTCAGAGTGATTTTAAAATAAAAAATTGTAGGGTCACTTGAGCGGCTCAGTTGGTTAAACGCCTGACTCCTGATTTTGGCTCAGGTCATGATCTCACAGGATTGTGAGTTCAAGCCCCTCATCCTTCTCCACACTGATGGTGTGAGGCCTGCTTGAGATTCTCTTTCTCCCTATCTCTCTCCTCCTCCCCTGCTTGCTCTGTCTCTCTCAAAATAAACATTTAAGTAAAATAAAATATTGTAATGGTTAGCAAGTCTTGTGAGACATAACATTGATTTATTCTAATATAGGATTTCTTAGCATGTTTCACATTTTGGGCTGCATAATTTTATGTTGTATGGGATTGTACTCTGCGTTGTGAGATGTTTACCACTATCTGGGCCCCTACCTACAAGACACCACTGTCAGCGTTATCTCCCTATCTCCCACTCTGCACCCACCACCCCATTCCTCGAGTTGTGATAATTAAAAATGTTGGCAGACATTGCCAAATGTCCCCTTGGGAGCAAGATCACTCCTGGTTGGGAACCATTGTTCTAATTCTTATAATTTGTAGCAATTGGGTATTTTAGAAATTGGTAACCAACTAAGGTTAGTAATTCTATCTAAACTATTATTAATAATGTCTCTCAGCATTTGCCCTTCTCAGTTAGGTTGGTCTTCTTGACCAGTGTTAATGTTAGTCTTTATTTTTTGGTATACTGTTAAAGAGGAGAAATAAGTCATATACTTCCTTTGCTTGTTTGCTTTAATTAGCTAGCTCATTTCAGACACTAACAATAACCTCAGACTACCTAACCAATTTACCTCTTCTTGTCCCTACTGTATTCTATCTGGACAAGTTTAATTGAGAAATTAGATTTTAAGTAATGTAATGTTTATTTTCTGTAATGTAATTTGAATTATAGATCTAAAATAGACCCAAATTATTAACTATAGGTGGAAAAAGCTTGGACCCTAAGTTTTTTAATGTGTACTAGTACATATGAAGTTGGGATCCACAGGAAATTCAAAGCAAATTGGATTAACCTTAAGAGTTTGCTTTTCTAGTGATGGAAGATAGATAATGTCAACACCTATATAGTACAAGGCAGAATGAAGTAAATTACAGATCAAGACGAATAAGCAGTTTGGAATGGTATCATAGAGGATGAATTCTGACCAGGGGAATTGAGGAAAGTTTCATGGAAGGCAGGATGGTCTTATTGGGCCTTGATGGATGAATCAAGTTTTGACAGTTGGAAGATGCAGAGTAATGTTGTGGATGGCTCAGTGTATGGGCTTTGGGTACTCATAAACCTGGTTTTCAAGTTAAACTCCATCACTTAGTAGGTCTCTGACCTTCAAAGTTTATTCAGTCTTTAATTGTGTAGTTAAATAAAGTACCTCCTTCATAGGATTGTTGTGAAAATAAAATTATAATGGATACAAAGCATAGTTTAAATACCTAATGTTAGTTGTTTTTAGCTCTTGTTTCAGATCATTGCTTAAAACCAAATTTTAAATCCTAGAGCACTTTTCACATCACCATACTTCTCCATTGTGGTTTTAAAGGATAACTGTCTTGACATATTTCTGCTGAATCTCTGCTTTATTAAAGTAGATTGAACCTTATATAATCATGCTTTTATTCATTTCACAATGCACTAGCAAGTGCAGCAAGTTTTAGATGAGGAATGGAAATAAAATGAAAAATGGAGACATGTATTGTTTGAAATGTTCCAAATAAAATACTTGATCTGAAGAAAATGTGTATAGAGATAAGAAAGAAAGGTATTGTGGGGCGCCTGGGTGGCGCAGTCGGTTGAGCGTCCGGCTTCAGCCAGGTCACGATCTCGCGGTCTGTGAGTTCGAGCCCCGCGTCAGGCTCTGGGCTGATGGCTCAGAGCCTGGAGCCTGTTTCCGATTCTATGTCTCCCTCTCTCTCTACCCCTCCCCCATTCATGCTCTGTCTCTCTCTGTCCCAAAAATAAATAAACGTTGAAAAAAAAAATTTAAAAAAAAAAAAAAAAAAGAAAGAAAGGTATTGAAAGTTAACTTATTCTCACTTGTATTACCATATTAAAACCTCTTTATTTCTGAATTCAGGTTTTTTATGTTGTTTCAAAGCTGTTTACTTAATTAACTGAGGTAGTAAACACAGGTTAACAATACAACTTAAGGATCTTTATTGAGAATTTGATTATTGACTTTGAATATGGAAAAAATTGAAAAATATGCCCAGAATGAAAGTAATTCGTTATGGTATTCACATTCCTTTTTTTTTTTTTTTTTTTTTAATTAGGAAATCAAAAGTATAAAAGAAGAACTTGCTACTAGATTAAATAGTAGTGAAACTTCAGAACTTTTGAAAGAGAAAGATGAGCAGATCCGAGGGTTAATGGAAGAAGGTATGTAAAATATTTAGTTGATTATGAAAAATACTGTCAACACAGGAAAAATGCTTGCCACATGATTAGCTACTGCTTCCCAGTAAAAAATATTGGAAGCAAGAAGGCTTTGTGCTTAAACCTCAGAAATGGTAGGTGATAATTTATGGAAAACTGGGGAGTAATATGTATAGAGGCAGAGACATTTGCATGTAGCCTTTTACACTACATACACGTACTTGCTAAAATAACTTGCTGAAAAATAAATGTTTGTGCTTCCATAAAAAAGTTTTTAACAGATTTTACAGCCTGTCATTTAAACCAAGATATTTGAGGTTATTATTTTGGAGTTTATATAGTATCTCAGTCTCTAGCTTGGGTACTCTCTGGTATCATCATATTATTTGGGCATTTGATAGTGAATTTTTCATTATATTATTATTTTAATTTTTCAGTTATTAAGTACTCTATGAAAAAACTTATTAGCAGGCTTATAGAAATAAATATTTTTCATTAGATAAGTTATTACAAATTGACACTGGACTAATTTCTTTCTGTAATTTCATAGGAAAGAGGTAGTTTTTGAAAAGGGGATTAAATGAATTTTTTTCCTCTTTAATTTATATATTTGTATTTTATTTTTGAGAGAGAGAGAGAGAGAGAGAGAGACAGTGCAAGTGGGGGAGGGGCAGAGAGAGAGCGCGTGCGCAAGCAAAACCCAAGTAGGTTCCATGCTGCCAGCACAGAGTCCCATGCGTGACTCCATCCCACGAAGCTGCAAGATCATGACCTGAGCCTAAACCAAGAGTTGTAGACTCAACCTACAGAGCCACCCAGGCACCCCTCTTCTCCTCTTAATTAAAATTTTTCTAGTTGTAAAATTAGACTTGCTACTTGCAGAAATTTTTGAAGTTTTGGTAGGTGTAGGAAGAAAAAATACATCCTAATCGACTTTTACAAGAAACTGTTAATTTCTTCTAGTCCTTTTTTAGTGCATTTTTAATACATTGTTAAGCATAATTAAGGTCACATACTTTATTTGTAATTTTCCTTCTTTTACAATTCCCTTGCTACTAAATAATTTTGCTAGCATTATTAATGGCCGTATTAAAGTCCCTTATAGGGGCACCTGGGTGGTTCAGTTGGTTAAGCATCCAACTCTTCACTTTGGCTCAGGTCATGATCTCATAGTTTGTGAATTCGAGCCTTGTATCCGGTTCCACACTGATAGTGCAAACCCTGCTTGGGATTCTTTGTCTCCTCTCTCTGCCCCTTTCTCTCCCTCAAATAAATTAAAAAAAAAAAAAAAAAAAAGTTTAAAGTCCATTATATGGCTATATATACCACTACTTATTTTACTGTTTTCCTCATATTGTGCATTTATTTCTAAAATGTTAATATTGTAAATGGTGGGATGAACATTTCTGTACTTAAATCATTGAACTTAAGAGGATTTCCAGAGGGCTGGTAAACAACATGGAACAGTCACTTCATTTCAAAAAATTAGTTTTATCCAGTTTTTATTTTTCATTTATTCAGCTAATTTTTAACAGTGTGTCAGATACTATATTTAGTATAGTAATAAATTTGACATGCTCCCTATCCTTTAGGAGCTTACAGTTCAGTGAAAAGGAAATAGAAGTACTCAGATAATTGTAAAACACAGTCTAAGCACTACAATAGAAAATGGAGAATTGATAAATCACATAATCATTATGTCAAATCATCTTGAGGTCATGAACTGCCTTTATTACAGCACTAGAGATTGAGGGAAAGGCTGTGTGCATGGTTTCATAATTTTAAAAAATTATCTTAAATATTTATATCAAGGGGCATTTGGGTGGCTCAGTTGGTTGAGTGTCTGACTCTTGATTTCAGCTCAGGTCATGATCTTAGGGTTGTGGGATTGAGTCCTGCGTCGGGCTCTATGTTGATCATGGAGCCTGCTTAAGATTCTCTTTCTTCCACACCCTCCCCTGCTTGTTTTCTCTCTCTCTCTAAAAAAATAAAAAAATAAAAATATTTCTATCAGATGTCACTGTTTGGGTTTTATTAATTTATTGAGGGGGTGGGTTGATGTTTTCTTTTGCTTAATGAAATTCTTTATACTGAAAATAGAATGATTTCATATGGGATCATTTATTCACTGCTTCTGTTTCTTCCAGAGGTATTTTTAAATTCACAGCTAAAAAGCTGAAAGACTCAAAGCTGAAAGCACACTACAGTAAATAGCAGATTACATTATTACTTCACTTCGTCATTTATTAACATCTAGGCACACCTGATTCATAGCTTTCTGCACACACATATACTTCCCTTTTGCCAAAGCATTTGAATGTAGGTGACAGATATGAGTCCACTCATAAATTCTTTTTTTCCTCAGTTTTATTGAGGTATAATTGGCTAATAAAAATTGTATGTATTTAAGGTGCACAATGTGATTTTTTGGATAACATATATATTGTGAAATGTTTACCACAGTCAAGCTAATTAACATATCAATCACCTCATGTACTTAACTTTTTTCTTTTTTTTTTTACATTTTTTACATTATGTCTGAAGAACTTACCTCTGTAACTGAAACTTGGTCCCCTTTATCTCCATATTTCCCCTGGTAACTAGCATTGTGCTCTGTACTTCTATAAATTCAACTTTTTTATATTCCACATCAGAGTGAGATCATGTATGTAGTATCTGAATCTGACTTATTTCAGCCTCCAGGTTCATCCGTGTTCTTACAAATGGCAGGATTTCCTTTTTCAAGGCTAAATAATATATAGCATGCTACTTTTTTCTTCTTGAAAAATTTTTAAATTTTTGTAATGTTTATTTATTTTTGAGAGAGAGACAGAGTACAGTGGGGGAGGAGCAGAGAGAGAGGGAGACACAGAATCTAAAGCAGGCTCCAGGCTCCGAGCTGTCAGCATAGAACCCGATGTCGGGCTTGAGCCCACAAACCATGAGATCATGACCAGAGCTGAAGTTGGATGCTTAACCAACTGAGCCATCCAGACACCCCTTCTTTTTTAGAATTTTTAATGAATTGGGAAAATATTCACAATTTTAGATAGCAAAAATAAATTACACATTTGTATATACAATATTTTTTATTGAAGTATAATTGCATACAATGTTATATTCCAGGGGTACAAGCTGTGTAGTGATTCAAAAATTCTGTATATTATTCAGTGCTCACCATGAATACAGTCACCATACAACATTATTACTATATTATTGACTATATATACTATATTGTAATTTTTATCCCTGTGACTTATTTTATCACTGGAAATTTACACCTTTTAATCCTCTTCACCTATTTCACCCCTCACATTCTCCCCATGTCATCTTTGGCAACCACCATTTTCTTTCTGTATTTAAGAGTGTGTTTTTATTTTCTTGTTTGTTTTGTGTTTTAGATTCCACATATTAGTGAAATCATATGGTATATCCCTTTCTTTTTCTGATTTATTTCACTTAGCATAATACCTTCTAGGTCTATCTATGTTGTCACAAACGGCAAGATCTCATTCTTTATTATGGCTGAGTAGTATTCCATTGTATGTATGTGTGTATATACACACACTCCGTATTTGCTTTGTCCATTTATCATTGTATGCTTAGATTGTTTCCATATCTTGGCTGTTGTAAATAATGCTGCAATATAGATAGAGCATTATATTTCTTAGAATTAGTGTTTTCTTTTTCTTTGGGTAGATACCTTGTAGGGGGATTGCTGGAACACATCATATTTCTGCTTTTAAATTTTTGGAGAAGCTCCATGTTACTGGAGTTTTTAATACTTAAAATTTCTTGTCTTTTTGATAATAGCCATTCTGCCGTGTGAGGTAATATCTCAAGGTGGTTTTCATTTGCATTTCCCTGATGATTAGTAATGATGATTAGTGATGGTTAGTGACCTTTTTACGTTTCGGTTGGCCCTCTATGTGTCTTCTTTGGGAAAATGTTTATTCATGTCCTTTTTCCATTTTTTTAATCAGATTGCTTTTGGGGGAAGGGTTGAATTGTATGAGTTCTTTATATATTTTGGACATTCACCTCTTATTGGCTATGTCATTAAAATATGTCTTCAATTCAGTAGACTGTCTTCTTGTTTTGTTGATGGTTTCCTTTGCTGTACAAAAGGTTTTTATTTTGTTGTAGTCCCAATAGTTTATTTTTGCTTTTGTTTTTCTTGCCTGAGGAGACATATTCATAAATATATTCTAAGGCTGATGTTCAGGGGATTACTGCCTGTGTTTTCTTTCTTAAAAAAAAATTTTTTTTAATGTTTATTTTTGAGAGAGAGAGAGTAGGGAGTGTGTGTGTGCGTGCGGGGGAGGGGCAGAGAGAGCAGGAGACACAGAATCCGAAGCAGGCTCCAGTCTCTGAGCTGTCAGCACAGAACCCAATGTGGGACTCGAACCCACAAACCATGAGATCATGACTTGAGCTGAAGTCGGATGTTTAACCGAAGTCGGATGCTTAACCAACTGAGCCACCCAGGGGCCCTGCTGCCTATGTTTTCTTTTAAGAGTTTTATAATTTCACATCTCACATTTTGGTCTTTAATCCATTTTGAATTTATTTTTGTGTATGGTGTAAGAAAGTGGTCCGGTTTCATTCTTGTTCATGTAGCTGTCCAGTTTTCCCAACACCACTTAACGAAAAGAATATCTTTTCCCCATTATATATTCTTGCCTCCTTTGTCATCAGTTATTTGACCGTATAAGTATGGGTTTATTTCTGGGCTCTCTATCCTGTTTTATTGATCTATGTGTCTGTTTTTGTGCCAGTATCCTACTATTTTGATTACTGTAGCTGTAATCTAGGATTATGATACCTTCAAGCTTTGTTTTTCCTTCTCAAGATTGCTTTGGCTATTTGGGGTCTTTGTGTTTCCATGAAAATTTTAGGCTTACTGTTTCTAGTTGTGTGAAAAATGCTCTTGGTATTTTGATAGGGATTGCATTGAATCTGTAGATTGCTTTGGGTAGTATGGACATTTTAACAATATTAATTCTTCCAGTTCATGAGCATGGTATATCTCTCCATTTGTGTTGTTTTCAATTTTTTTCATTAGTATCAGAGTATAGGTCTTTGATTTTCTTGGTTAAATTTATTCCTAAGTATTTTATTTTATTTATTTTATTGGTGCACTTGTAAATGGGATTATTTCTTAATTGTACTTCCTACTATTTTATTATTAGCATATGGAAATGCAACAGATTTCTGTATATTTTGTATCCTGCAATTTTACTGAATTCACTTATTCTAATAGTTCTTTGGATGGAGTCTTCAGGCTTTTCTAGCTATGGTATTATATCATCTCTAAATAGTGACAATTTTACTTCTTCCTTACTACTTTGGGTGCCTTTTATTTATTTTTCTTGTCCATTTGCTGTAGTTGGTCTTCACTACAATATTATATTAAAGAGGTTAGAGTGCACATCTTTGTCTTCTTCCTGGTCTTAGACGAAAAGCTTGCACTATTTTACCATCAAATATGATGTTAAGCTAAGAATTTTTTCTGTGTTGCCTTTATTATGTTATGTTCCCTTCTAGCCCACTTTGAAATTTTTATCATGCCCAGATACAGTATTTTATATAAAAATGCTTTTTCTGCTTCTATTGAGTTGACTTATGGTTTTTATCCTTTTATTAATGTGATGTTTCATGTTGATTGATTTGCAAATATTGAACCACGTTTGTGTCCTTGGAATAAATCTCACTTGATCGTGGTGAATGATCCTTTTAATGTATTGTTGAATTCAGTTTGCTAATATTTTGTTGAATATTTTTACACCTGTGTTTACCAGGGATATTGGCCTCTCGTTGTCTTTCTTTTTTTAAGGGTCTTTGGTTTTGGTGTCAGGGCAATACCAGTCTTATAGGATAAATTTGAAAAAGTTTTTTTCTATTTGTGGACCAGTTTGAGAAGAATAGGTATTAACTCTTCTTTAAATGGTAGAATTCACCTGTGAAGCCATCTGGTCCTGGGCTTTTGTTTGAGATGAGGAGTCTTGATTACTGATTCAATTTTGTTACTAGTAATCGATCTGTTCAAATTTTCTTGTTCTTTCTGATTTAGTTCTGGGAGATTGTTTCTAGGAATTTATCCATTTTTTTTCTAGGTTGTCCAGTTCACATATATAATCATCATAGTATTCTCTTAAAATTCTTTGCATTTCTGTGCACACCACATTTTCTTTATCCATTTATCCATTGATGGACACTTAGGTTATTTGCATAACTTGACTTTTGTGAATAATGTTGCAGTACACGTGGAAATGCACATGTCTCTGAGGTACTGATTTTATTTCCTTTGGATGTATACCTAGAAGTGGGACTGTTGGATCATATAGTAGTTCTATCTTTAATTTTTTGGGAATCTCCATGCTGTTTTCCATAATGGCTGTACCAGTTTACACTTCTGCCAATAGTATATACCAAGGTTCCCTTTTCACTACATCCTTGCCAATTCTTATCTTTTGCTTGTTGATAATAGGTATCCTGACAGCTGTGAGGTGATATCTCATATAGTTTTGATACGCATTTTTCTGATGATTAGTGATATTGAGTACCTTTTTGTATACTTATTGGCCATTCTTTGTCTTCTTTTGAGAAAGTCTATTCACATCTTTTTTTAAAAAAAAATTTTTTTAATGTTTATTCATTTGTGAGAGACAGAGAGTGAGTGGGGGAGGGGCAGAGAGAGAGAAGGAGACACAGAATCCAAAGCATGCTCCAGGCTCTGAGCTGTCAGCACAGACCCAAAGTGGGGCTCGAACTCACCAACCATGAGATCATGACCTGAGCTGAAGCTAGACACTTAACCGACTGAGCCACCCAGGAGCCCCTCACATCTTTTACCCATTTCTTAATTGGCTTGTTTTTTGCTGTTGAGTTATTGGAGTTCTTTGTTTATTTTGGATATTAATCCCTTATCAAATACATGGCTTGCAAATATTTTCCTCCATTCTGCAGATTATCTCTTCAGTCTGTTGATTTGTTTCCTTTGCTATGCAGTAGTTTTTAGTTTGATGTAATCCCAGTTGTCTATTTTTGCTTTTGTAGTCTGTGCTTTTGGAATCCATACCCAAAAAATCATTGCCAATACCAATGTCAGTTTTTTTTTCCCTATTTTTTTTTCCTAGTAATTTTACACTTTCAGGTATATTAAGTGTTTATTTTGAGTTGACTTTTGTATTTGGTGTGTGGTCCTATTTCATTCTGCCTATGATTATTCAGTTTTCCTGGTATAATTTATTGATGAGACTTCCCTTTCCCCATAGTGTGTTCTTGGTCTCTTTTTTGAAGATCACTTGGCTGTAAATGTATTTCTGAATTCTGTGTGGATTTTCTAGGCTGTTTTGCTCTGCTGGTCTACTATGTTTTTGGTTTTTTTCTTTTAACGTTTATTTATTTTTGAGACAGAGAGCATGCACAGGGGAGGGGCAGAGAGAGAGAGGGAGATACAGAATCCAAAACGGGCTCCAGGCTCTGAGCTGTCAGCACAGAGACCGATGCAGGGCTCGAACTCACAGACCGTGAGATCATGACCTGAGCCGAAGTCGGATGCTTAACCGACCGAGCCACCCAGGCGCCCCTGGTCTACTGTTTTTATGCTAGTACCATACTGTTTTGATAACTCTAGCTTTGTATCATGTCTTAAAATGAGGAAATATGATACTTTCAGCTTTGTTCTTGCTCAGGATTCCTTTGGCTATTTGAGGTCTTCTGTGGTTCCATATGAGTTTTAGGATTTTTAAAAAACTTTGTGAAATTTGCCATTGGACTTTTGTTAGATATTGCATTGAATATGTAGTCCGCTCCTAAATTCATGAGGCTCCATTTCCCAGTAGCAAGTACATTTTGCTTCACAAGCACAACATCATAACCATACCTAAGAAAATCAGTATTTATTCCGAAGTATACTCCAACATATATTTCATCATCCCATTGTCTCTAAAAAGGACTTTTATACCTGATATTTGTCCTGCCCCAAGATCCAGTCAAAGTTTGTATATTGCATTTGGCCATTATGTCTTTTTGGTCTTTCATCAGTCTAGCGATAGGTCTCTCTTCATGACTTTAAAGACTTTGTAGAATCCAGGCCAATTTTCCTATAGTATGCCCCATGTTCAGGAATTTGTCCTTCTCATGATTAGATTCAGATAAAATTTCTGGTAAGAAAGATCACTGGTGACTAACTAAATGGTTAAGATGGTAATAGCCAGATTTCTCCATTGTATTACAAGTAGATTTTTACATTTGTAATTCGTAAGCAATATGTGGGAATGAATTTTAAAAAAATTATGTATTTAAATTCAAGTTAGTTAACATACATTGTAGTATTGGTTTCAGGAGTAGAACCCAGTGATTCATTACTTACATATAACACCCAGTGCTCATCCCAACAAGTGCCGTCCTTAATGCCCATCACCCATTTAGCCCTTCCCCCCATTTACCTCCCTGCTAGCAACCCTCAGTTTGTTCTCTGTTATGTAAGAGTCTCTTATGGTTTGCCTGTGGGAATGATTTCTTAAGGCTAAGAATATTCTGTTACCTATCACCCTTCCATCTAGTAATTTTAGCATTTATTGATGGTTGTCCCAATCAATTTAATGTTCATGGTTATAATATTGTGATTTTAAAAATACTCTATCATTTTATGTCACTGGTTAGATCCAATACACTATCCAGATTCTTAAGGAATCATTATTTGAAAAATTTTTTTTTTTTGCCATTGCTAGGAGAAAAACTTTCAAAACAGCAGCTGCATAATTCTAACATTATTAAGAAATTAAGAGCTAAAGACAAAGAAAATGAAAATATTATTGCAAAACTGAACAAAAAAGTTAAAGAGCTAGAAGAAGAGTTGCAACATTTAAAACAGGTGAATATTAACTATTATCTAAATATATATATTGTTATTACTTCCTATATGAACAATTCGCCATGGTTTATAAAACATTTAGAATAATTTATTGGGATATATCATGGGAAGAATTTGTCAAGCAATTTAATAGATGATAGTTAAGATTTTTCTTCATTACTGTAACACTCAAGATTCCTGGAATACAATTATTTACCATGGTGTTATTAATTGAAAAATACTTTTGTCTGTTTTATAGGTCCTTGATGGCAAAGAAGAGGTTGAGAAACAACATAGAGAAAACATTAAAAAACTAAATTCTGTGGTAGAACGCCAAGAGAAGGATCTTGGCCGACTTCAGGTAGACATGGATGAACTTGAAGAAAAGAACCGAAGTATTCAAGCTGCTCTGGATAGTGCATACAAGTAAGAAAATGAACAAATATACAACTCATTTAAAATCAATTATCAGAACAGGATGTTGAAGAAATACTTCTTCTGTTATTTGATCACTAACAATATTTATAAACTTGGCTATATATGGACTTGTAGTTGGTCAGAGCAAGTTCAACAGAGAGTCCTTACTATGGTCAGTGTTTATTATGGGGTGAACTCTCCCTTATTGTGTAGCTCCTAGGGAAATCTATATGCAAACTTCCTTAACTTGATCATGTAATTAACTATTTTAAATAAAAATTATCAATCCAATTTTTTAAGAGAACTTACTGATCTCCACAAAGCCAATGCTGCAAAAGATAGCGAGGCACAGGAAGCTGCTCTGAGTCGTGAAATGAAAGCCAAAGAAGAACTTTCTGCAGCACTAGAGAAGGCCCAAGAAGAAGCCCGTCAGCAGCAAGAAACATTAGCGATTCAAGTAAGCAAGAGATAATAATTAAATTAGTCTTTAAAAACTTTGTGCTTTTACAAATTAAAGAATACGTTAGCTGGTTTGAGTCAAACTTTATGTAGTGGTACATACAGGTGTTATATTTTGTTTCTAATCTTGTTGGACACTTTTTTCTAAGACTACTGTATTGTGCCAGTCTTGTGTTTTTTGGTTTTTTTAAAATTTTTTTTTTAACATTTATTTATTTTTGAGACAGCATGAACAGGGGAGGGTCAGAGAAAGAAGGAGACACAGAATCTGAAACAGGCTCCAGGCTCTGAGCTATCAGCACAGAGCCGGACGTGGGGCTTGAACCCACGGACCGTGAGATCATGACCTGAGCCGAAGTCGGCCGTTTAACCGACTGAGCCACCCAGGCGCGCCCCCCCTTTTTTTTTTTTTTAATTTTTTTTTTAACATTGTGTTTTTTTTAAACCATTGTTAAAGTGATACCTGCGTTATTCTAGTACTGCTTATTTTTGGTGAATTTCAGACTTACTACAGAATATTGTGAAAGGCAGACTGTGTTACTGCACCTATGCAGATAAATACTAGACATTGTGTATAATTTTAGGAGAATCCATATAACTCCTGAGCTTATTCATAACAACTGGGGGAGTCCATACAGTTCAGATAAGGGAGGAAAACCAAAATTTGTCAGGCTTTGTCTTACAAAATCATCAGTTGATGGATACTTGGGTTATTTTCACTTTTGGTTATTACAAATAATACTACTATAAACATTCATGTACACATTTTTGTGTAAACATTTATTTTAAATTCTCTTAGACATAGGGCACCTGGGTGGCTCATTCGGTTAAGCGTCTGACTTCGGCTCAGGTCATGATCTTGCAGTTCGTGGGTTTAAGGCCCGTGTCGGGCTCTGTGCTGACAGCTCAGAGCCTGAAGCCTGCTTTGGATTCTGTGTCTCCCTCTGTCTCTGATGGCTTCATTCCCTGTGCTCTGTCTCTTTCTCAAAAATAAATAAACATTAAAAAAAATTATTAAAAAAAATTCTCTTTGACATATATCCTTAGGTTAGTTTGGTAATCCTATATATAACTTTGTGAAGAGCTGCCAGACTTTCCACAACACCTACACCATTTTACAGTCTCATCAGCAATATGTGAGGGTTTTAGTTTCTATCTTTTGCCAGTGTTTGTTACCTTTTTTTTTTTATTTTTATTTAAAAACATAATTTTTTTTTTAACGTTTATTTTTGAGACAGAGAGAGACAGAGCATGAACGGGGGAGGGTCAGAGAGAGGGAGACACAGAATCTGAAACAGGCTCCAGGCTCTGAGCTGTCAGCACAGAGCCCGACGCAGGGCTCGAACTCACGGACCGTGAGATTATGACCTGAGCCGAAGTCGGCCGCTTAACCGACTGAGCCACCCAGGCGCCCCTTCTTTTTTTTTTTTAATAGCCCTTTTAGTGGGTATGAAATGGTATCTGATTGTGGTGTATTTGTTTATATTTCCTTAATGACTAATGATGTTGAGCATCTTTTTATGTGCTTACTGGCCATATATATATTTTTGCATCTTCTTTGGAGAAATTTATTCAAACACTCATATCCTTTGCTCATTTTTAAATTGTTGAGTTGTGAGAGTTGTTTATGTGTTCTGCATATTAGGTCTTTATCAAAGGTAGGATTTGCAAATATTTTTTCCCATTTTATAGGTTGTCTTTCATTTTCTCAATAGTGTCCTTTGATGTATAGGTTTTTTAAATTTTGGTGAAGTCCATCTTCTTTATTTTTTCTTTTGTTGCCTGTGCTTCAGGCATCGTATTTAAGACACCATTGCTTAGTCCAAGGTCATGCAGGTGTTCCCCTGTTTCCTTCTAAGAATTTTATAGTTTTAGCTCTTGCATTTAGGTTTTTTGCACATGGATGTCCAGCTGTCACAGGACCATTTATTGAAAAGATCATTCTTTCCTCATTGAGCGCAGTGCAATTTTGATTTAATTTTACATAAATATGTAGAAAATTTACATGATTCCAAAGTGAGAACTGTATAACCGTATATCGAGACAACATTTGCTTCCAACTTAGCTCCTCCCCGTCCCCTTTCTTTGCCTATAAGTAGCCATTTTACTAGTGTTTGGTTTGTTTTTTCAGTGTTTCTGTTTGTAAATGAAAGAAAATATACAGGTCTATAAATTTACCTATATACCTCTGCATATACACTAGCATAATAACAAAAAGTAGGGGAATGGGAGACAGAGAGCATATGGTGGTACTATTTATAAAATTATCACCTTTTGTAAGTAACATCAGTTTTGTGTATTAACTTCTTACCTTTCTATGTATTTTTAAGTAATTGATACCATGTATATTAGTTTTTTCATTTAAGATTTAATTATAAATTTTTACATATTCTTCACATTCATCATAATTTTTTCTAAGTTTATTTATTTTGAGAGAGAGAGAGTATGCCCACACACGTATGTGGGAAAGAGGCAGAGAGGGAGAGAGAATGTATGCTGTCAGCTCAGAGCCTGACACAAGCTCAGTCTCATGGAACTGTGAGATCATGACCTGGGCCAGAATCAAGAGTCGGATGCTTAACTGACTAAACCACCCCGGCGCCCACATTCATCATAATTTTTAATGGGAATATTATATTCATGTATCAAACTTTGCAAAAATAGATTACTGGTGGATATGTGGAATATTTCCTGTTTTGTCTATTTTTGCTAGTCTAGCTAACAGCATAGTGGGGAGTATCTTTTATATTTATATCTGCTTTTGTTGAGTCAATTCTCAAGACTAGGATGACCAAGTGAAAAAGATGAAAAATTTTATGATCCTTTAAACATGTCTTCATAATGTTTTACAGAAACACTGTAGTGGTTTACATCTGCAGTTGTGTATTAGGAATAGCAGCTTGCTTTTATAGCTATCACATTCTGCTTTACATTGCGAATATTTATAGATGCATTGTCTCTCCTTCTGTATTGTACAGTGGCTGTGCCTTGTACCTATTTATATACTTTTTTTTGGCCTAACAGTGGTTTTCTGAGTATATATTGGGTACATATACAGTTTAGAATTGCTTGATGAATGGGTTGTGTGCTAACCATGTGAAAAAGCTCATTGGATAGTAGAAGTATTCTACATAAACAGCAAGTGCGCACAGCACAGTATGCAGGTAGGAAGTTGCGGGTAATGTTTTGTTACCATCTGTGCTAGTGTGTACGGGTTCTCATACAGGTGGGAGACCTCAGGCTGGCACTGCAACGTGCAGAGCAAGCGGCTGCCAGAAGAGAGGATTATTTGCGCCATGAGATCGGTGAACTCCAGCAGGTACTGTCACAGTTTCCCTAAACACAAATCCAAGATGTGTTTTCCTAGAAATAAAAAATGGCTCGGTGGGGATACTGTTCATGGAATTGAGATGATTACTACCATACTTAGCATTTATTTGCTGTATTGTTTTGTGCCTTATATGAATAAAATCAGAGGGGGCACCTTAAAAAAAAGAAACATGAAAAGCCCTAGGTTTTTTTATGGAAAATAATTTGTGATAGATTTATTTCTCAGCATTGTCTTTTCGTTTGTTATAACTAGTTTATTATTATCAGTCTTTGATTACTGTTAGGTAGATAGGAGACCACTCTGTTAATTTTCAATAAGCGAACATGAATGGGAAAAGGGAGAGAAAATGCAACTCAGATTGATCTTTCTGTTTTTATAAATACTTAGAAATATTTGGGTGATGAGACAATTGCTGGGAGGTTTGGATGATAGTCTCTTTTACCTTCAGGTAATCAAAAGCTATCTTTATGTTTGAAAACCTTATACAGAAGCACTTATTTACATACTATTATGCTTCGTAACTCTAATTTAAAGATTGAATAATTGGAAAATAATGTAAATAATTTTTTCTTGGGAAAACAATATTGTCCAGAAATCTCTCATGAAGTTTGTTGCTAGTGTTTTCAGAGCTTTTATTGCTGTTAGTGGTAATGACTTAAGAATTTCACCATTCAGAGACTTCAGGAAGCAGAGAATCGAAACCAAGAGCTGAGTCAAAGTGTTTCATCAACAACAAGACCATTGCTTCGACAGATAGAAAATTTGCAAGCAACTCTAGGGTCCCAGACATCATCGTGGGAGAAGTTAGAGAAGAATCTTTCTGATAGGCTTGGTAACTGATTTCTTTAGTTCTTAAGCTCAGTGTAGAAGCTTGTTTATAGAATTAGAATAATGGCATAAAATTGAAATTCTTGATCTGATAGTTATATCTTATGTCTAAGTTGTAGATTTTTACCTCTTCTGTTTTTTTACATTTATTTTCTAATATCCTAATTGACCCTTTCAAACCACTTGTTTTCCCTTACACAGTGTGTCAGATACTGTCCCAAATACTAGCATGCCATCCTTTCATTTTTACAGACTGCTGCACTCATTCTTTTCCTTGTCTCTTGCTAAATCTGACCCCTTTCTAGCTTGTCTGCAATAATGTAGGATGTAGAAATCAGGATTCTAGTTGTTGGTAGAATTCCAGGAGCAGAGATAGATCTAAGGAGGATCCCGATCAAACTCTACTAGACAGATGATGCGGAGTCTTTAGAGTCTTTTTTATAGAAATGCCCCAGGTTGCCCTTCTGTGATGTTATTAAGAAAATTATACTAAGATGTTTTTGCAAGCATAGACTAGTACATATGCATATATATGTACATGGGTATACATATACATATATTAGATATCCCAGAAGCTGGCAAGTTCATGAAAAATTCATGTGTCCCATTCTGTGCCTAAATATAACTGTCATTTGAGACACTGTGGTCTAGTGATAAAAGCAGGCCTGAATGGGTGTCCTTGTAAGCCATGAGGGGTAAACTAGATTAGTGGTTTTCAAACAGTATTTGCTAGATCCCTTAGATGTCTTAGGACTAGCTCTCATGGTGAGAGGGAAGCTCTATAATGAGAGGTGCTCGATGTATCTCTCTAGGCTGCTGTAATGAGAGTAGTTCCTCTTTTGTCTTTTTTTTTTTTTTTGAGTTCCAT